AGTCATGTCCGTCCGTCTGTCTGTTGAACAAATATTCCTTATAGGTAAGGTTTGTTTGGTATTGAAACTGAGCAATATCGGTGCACGTGTTCTCATAGCCCCTATACAAGTGGCCCCCAAAAAACAGTTTTAACAGTTTAACTGCTTTAAAAATAAGAGTATAACAATAAAATTCGGTACAAATGAACCAAAAGCTCTCTACCAAATTTTATGAATAACGGTCCATAATTGACTCTACCCCCCATATAAGGTCCCCTTCAGAAAATTACTTTAATTACATTAACTGTCTAAAAAATACGAATATGTATATCGATGAAATTCGACATAAAGAAGTTCCATATGAGACAAAAACTCTTTACCAAAATTTATGAGGATCGGTCCATAATTGACCCTACTCCCCATATAAGAAAGTTTCTTACGAGCAAAAATCTCTAAAAATAAATTTATGAGGATCGGTCCATAATTGACTCTACCCCCATATAAGTCCCCGTTAAAATATCTTTGATTTTTTCGAAATGGGTTTCAAAAATTCCGTAATTTTGAGCTGATTACCGGAAAAATAATCTTAAATATTTTGTAGAGTATTTTTGGTCAATTCCAAATATAAAAATTTTATTTATGGGGGTCACCATCAAGACTGTGTACTTGTGCCTAAAATTTTCAATTCTTTAATTTTACAGAAGATACGAATATTGACTCTCTCTGCTTCTAGACTAAAACATTAAGTTATAAAAGTCCATTATAGAACAAGTAAGAAAGTATAGAAAGTAAGAAGTGGCCGACCATATGATACCCTACACCAGTTATGAATATTAAATGTGATTTATTTTTCATAAAAAAGCATTTATCTTCAATATTCCCTTGTTCCGATACATTTAAGCAATTTATGGATGAAAAACTAATTTTCTGAAAGAGGCTTTATATGGGGGCCGGGGGCAAATATGGACCAAGCCCGATAAAATTTTTTGAATATACATATTTATATTTACATAATATTTTATAAGTTAATTAGGGACTTTGTATGGGAGCTAGGGTCAAATGGGGCCCGATCTTTATGAAATTTGGCAGGGTCATCAAGACTTCTATAAAATTAGTTGTGCCGTATTTTATCGATATATCTGTATATTTAACATAATTATGAGCTCAGAAGCCCTTTTCGGGGGGTTCTGTTCTAGGGGGGCTGGGTGAAATAATGGACCGATTTTAACCATTTTCAATAGGCTTCGCCCTTGGGTCAAATAAAACATGAGTGCCAAATTTCATCCAATTATCTTTAAAATTGCGACCTGTACCTTGCGCACAATGTTTACATGGACAGCCAGCCAGCCAGACGGACAGACGGACGGACATAGCTTAATCGACTCAGAAAACGATTCTAAGCCGATTGGTATACTTTAAAGTGGGTCTAGGACGAATATTCATTAGTGTCACAAAACATTTAAACTAGAAATATTTCAAAAAATTGAACAGATTTTGGAAAATATTCTAATAAAATTATGTCTACATTAAATATATTCGCAACCTCATTTGGTGCTTATGACTATAAATGGATAATCCTTCAGACGGCAAAACTCAAATTTCAAATTTTTTACAATTTTGTTAAACAAATTTTAAAATTTTGAGAAAATCTCCATGTAACTTATAGACAATAAAGATGGGAATAAAATATTATAGAAATTAGATCGATAGAGGATTTCGGAGAAAATTTTTTTGTTAAAATTTTTGAAAAATAGCCTTAATTCTTTTATGATTCTGTTACTGATTTAAGAATATAATTCAAAATTTCATATTTGAATAAAATTAAAACTTCTTAAAATGAAAATACTTCTTATTAAAGGCTATATTTTTGTGCTTAAAAATACAAATATATTTAAATAAAATTAAATAAACACAACTGTAATTCTAATTTTTTACACAACTAAATATTTTATTTATTATCTAAATAAATATCTTGCTTTTAGATTTGTAAATGTTTTGATGTTAAAATAAACATTAACATAAGACAACAACTTTATTTGCAGAAAATGTTTACATTTTGAAGAAATAATTAAAAATTTTGCAATAAATAGTGAATTTTGCTATTGGAAGTTATATTTCAATTCCATAGGTGTTTCAATTCAGAACCATCGTTAGCACAATGAAATTCCTAACAGTTTTTATATTTGGCCTTATATTGGCAGTGACTCTTGCCCAGGATGCAACAACCGAAGCTCCTGCTGATGGAGATAAAACAACTGCAGCTCCTCCAGATGATGGCGATAAAACAACCGAAAAGTCGGCTGATAAGCCTGCAGGAGGTGATAAACCTGCCGATAAACCGGCTGGTGGCGATAAACCAGCTGGAGGTTCAGATAAACCTGCCGATAAACCCGCTAGTAAACCCACTGAAAACAACAATAAACCCAATAACAAACCTAATCAACAAAACGTCAATAAGCAACGCGAAGAAATTAAGAAAAAACAATTGGCTATTTTGAAGAAACAACAAGCTATTATTAAGAAACAAAACGCTAAAAGGAAGAAGCAACAAGCCATCAAGCAAAAGCAATTGGCCATAATTAAGAAGCAAAATAATATCCGCAAGAAACAACTTGCTTACATGAAGAAACAGGACGAGAATTTCAAAATACAAGAGAACAATATGAAGAGACTCCAAGCCGAGATAAAGAAAGCTTTAGCCGAAAAGAAAAGGTTAGACGCTTTGTTGAAACAACAAAACAATCGGGGATAAAATATTAAATTTAAAAATGTTGTTTTTATTTTTTTATGAATAACTAAATAAATATTCTGTTTAGTCAGATAGTACAAATAAATAATTGTTATGAATACCCTATGATTTTCTTTATTATCAGAATATGTGTTTAAATATTACCCAGTAAAACTTTCTTTACCATGTAAGGAGTAGGTCTCCGGTAGGTTAGTGTTTAGTGTTCTAGTCTGGTAGACCGGAGGTGGTGGGTTCGATTCCCACCTGAGGCACTGGTTAAGGAGCGCACTACTAACTAACTAACTAACTAACTAACTAACTACTAACAAACTACTACTAACTAACTAACTAACTAACTAAACTACTAACTAACTAACTAACTAACTAACTAACTAACTAACTAACTAACTAACTAACTAACTAACTAACTACTAACTAACTAACTAACTAACTAACTAACTAACTAACTAACTACTAACTAACTAACTAACTAACTACTAACTAACTAACTAACTAACTAACTAACTAACTAACTAACGAACTAACTAACTACTAACTAACTAACTAACTAAAACTAACTAACTAACTAACTAACTAACTAACTAACTAACTAACTAACTAACTACTAACTAACTAACTAAACTAACTAACTAACTAACTAACTAACTACTACTAACTAACTAACTAACTACTAACTAACTAACTACTAACTAACTAACTAACTACTAACTAACTAACTACTAACTAACTAACTAACTAACTAACTACTAACTAACTAACTAACTAACTAACTAACTAACTAACTAACTACTAACTACTAACTAACTAACTAACTAACTAACTAACTAACTAACTAACTAACTAACTAACTACTAACTAACTAACTAACTAACTACTAACTAACTAACTACTAACTAACTAACTAACTAACTAACTAACTAACTAACTAACTACTACTAACTAACTAACTAACTAACTACTAACTAACTAACTAACTAACTAACTAACTACTACTAACTAACTAACTAACTACAACTAACTAACTAACTAACTAACTAACTACCAACTAATTAACTAACTATGTATGCTGTTAGGTAAGTAATAATTACAATTTAAATCCATTACCTAGTTTTTGCTGGGTATCTTTGATTTTGTATATGTATGCTAATATAAATTTGATAATGATCTTATAAGACACCCAACTCAACCTTTACCACGAACAATAGGTAATAAGTTTCATAGAGAAGAATAATATTTTAATTATTCCTAAATTTTAGATGATTTGTATCAGATAATTTCTTTTTTTTTAAATACTTCTGAAAAGATTTTAGTGTCTTCTAGTCTAGTTTATGGAATAAATAATTATGTAAAGTACTTTGGACAATTTTTGTCTAACTTTGATCGCCTCTAACTCCGGCAGTTCTTGACTGATAAAACTGAAAATTTGTGTTCATACAAATCGATTTTTTAAGTTGGGCCACTTGACACGAAATTGTCCATATATGGGAGGAGGGCCTGTCCGTGTACCGACTTTTTTGAAATACAAAATTTTTGTTAATTATTCTATCAAATGTTATTTTGGATGTATTTTGATGAAAAATATAGTTACGTCGTTTTTAACCCTTAGGTTATATGAGAGATGAGTGTGTCCTTGGAACGCTTTATTCAGATTCAGACACACATTCTGATGCATAAGAAATTCAGGACATACACTCTAATTTTGAATGTATTCCTATAATAAATGTAGTATTAGGTTATATGTAAGGTAGACGAGTCCTAGCACCGATTTTGAAATTTAAAAATTTTCTTAATTAGACTAACAGACATGAGGAAAAAATTTAATTTGAAAAAAAAACCATGTATAACAAAATATCCAGCTTTGACCCCCTCAAACTTCGGCTAAAATTTCTTTCAGTTTAGCGCCCTCTGGCGCCATAAAAATAGCAAATTTACTTCTAAGAATTTATTCTATGAAAATCAAAACATCGTTCCCATTTATATGTTTCAATTGAAAGTTCAATAAAACCAATCATAATTGTAATATTGAAACCGAACTTTTGAATTAGTTATAAATACATTTGTATGTATAAGAAATTAAACAAATATTTATTTAAATTGAAAACAGACAACAACTAAACAAATACGAATAAAAAAAAACAAACGATAAAAATGTTTATAATATTTCAACAAATTCCGTCATAGGTTAATACATATTTGCCATATTTGCTTTTATGGTAATGTTATTACAAAATTTTACCATAAATAGTAAGCAAAATAACAAAGATTTATAGTTTAATTCAAGAGTTCATTGAATTAATAATATAATTACAACTAAAGTTTTCAGTTTGAATTATTTGAAGAACAATGAAATTCCTAACAATTTTTATCTTTGGTTTAATATTGGCAACGACTCTTGCCCAGGATGCAACAACCGAAGCTCCTGCTGATGGTGATAAAACAACTGCAGCTCCAGCTGATGGTGATAAACCAACTGATAAACCTGCAGATAAACCAGCAGATAAACCCGCTGATAAACCAGCTGGTGGCGATAAGCCTGCAGGAGGAAAGAAACCACCAGCAGATAGTCCTTCTAAAGGTGATTCACCCGCTACCACTAAAAAACCTGCTACCAAGAAACCTGCTCAAAATAACAACCTAAAAAAGGAAAATGAAAAGAGACGCCAACAAATTAAGAAACAACAAGAACAAATCAAGAACATGAAAAAATTGATCATGAAAGAACACCAGGCTAATCAAAAAAGACGCGAAGCTATCCAGAAAAGGGCTGCTGAAAATAAAAAGAGACAACAGTTGATTAAGAAGAGAAACGAAGTCATGAAGAAAAGAAGTGAAACCGTTAATAAACAAAGGGAATATCTCAAGAAGTTATTGGCCAGCAATGCTGCTGCTAGAAAGAAGTTGAATGCTGGTAGAGCTCCTAACAGAGGTTAAAATTTTTATCTATATAAATTTAGATTTTTATCTTTATAATTTAATAAAGGTTCTATAATTTCTGTTTAGTAAAACTAATTGCTTTTTAATGTCAGTTATGCATTTCATATAGACATAATTTTAAAATTGTCAGTTATTGATAACTGATTCATAGAAAGAACTAACTGTATTGTCAAAACTATTGACGCAAGATACACACCATGGGCAATTTTGATTTCGAAATTTGCACCAAGGTTAGTACCCACACACAAATTTTCAGCACTATTGGTCAAAAACTGCCGGAGTTAGTCGAAGTTTGACATTTTGGTCATACAGGGTTTTTTTCATATTAGTGTAATTTTTCACCTATTGGTCCTAGCATTCAAAAGGTTTTTAGATAGGTATTTCTTCACTGTTTCCAAAAAACTCTTAAATTTTTTTTTCAAAATACTCCCATTCCAAATACTTAATTTATTAATTAAGCATTAAGTAAGAGAATAGATTAATGAAACCCGAAAACAATGGGTTTAAGGGGTTAAGAGGTGGCGTGTCATAATGTCCATAGACCTTATGACACACTATAAAGCGACATAATGTCCAGGTATATGTAGCATTTTGGTTTCCTTTTAAAGTGTCCTGGATAGCAGGCCTTCGGCCGGGCGCGGGGGTTTTAAACTTTGGGATATTTCGAATACCGGCTTCGCTAAATTAAGCCTTTATTTGACAAAGGGACTTTTTGAAGTCCACGGACTTTATGTCGCATTGCTCATGGACATTGTGACACTTTCGAAATTGTCATAACGTCCATAACTCAATTTAGTGTGTCATAAGGTATTATGACACTGGACATTATGACACGCCACCGATTAAGATACTAATATTTAATTACAAACAAGCAATTTGAGTTATTACTTTAGAACGGTGATTACCCTTGAAGTCAACTACTTACATCAATTGCTTACAAGTAATTAGTCAATGTAAATCGTATAAAAAAACGTATATAGCTCATATACTAGCTTCATGGAGCAGATAACTGATGAATTAGAAAGTAGTTATATAACAAATTATTAATAAGACATCATTAGATTACTTCTATGTAGGAGAGATAGGTAAGTAATAGGTAAGTAAGTGGTAACAATTAAAAGATACATATCACCGAAATATTGGCTATATGACTCCAACCTATATAAACTGGGTTTTTGTAACACTTTTAAACGATCTACATATATTTTTATGTCCTAAACGGAGGGAGCTAAAGGGCTGAAATTTTACACAAACATTCCCTATTGATATTTGATATTGAAAAATTGGCAAATCTTTAAGTAATCTTAGCTTGGTATTGAAAATATGCTAAATCGGTCCAAATTAGACCCTATAAGTAATATTTATATATGACTTAAAAATACAAGTAGAGTGATGAAATTTAACAAAAACAAGTTTTTTAGGAACCAGTATCTCTAGAAAATTTCAAAAGGATCGATCCATATACTTTATTATCAAAGAAGTGTTTAAAAATAAAAGTCAATAAAAGGTATTTAAATTGCTATTTTTTGGTCTTAAAATAAATAAACAATTTTGTTTAATTTAAATAAATACAACTGTAATTTAAAAATTTACACACGACAATATATTGTAATTTATTTAATTTTCTACATTTTTTAGTTTTCAAATTAGTTTTGTGTTGTTAACTAAATATTAGCTTAAGGCATAAAACTAAAGACAATAGTTTATTTACAAAATAATGTTCACATTTTCAAGAAATAATTCCAAAAATCTTGCAATAAATAGCGCGAGTTCACCTGTAAGAAATTATATTTCAATTTCATAGGTGATTGAACTTACAGCTATCAGTAGAAAAATGAAATTCCTTACACTTTTTATATTTGGCTTAATATTGGCAACGACCTTTGCACAGGATGCTACAACCGAAGCTCCTGCTGATGGAGATAAAACAACCGAAGCTGCTCCAGCTGATGGAGATAAAACAACTGAAAAATCGGATGATAAGCCTGCGGGAGGTGATAAACCTGCCGATAAACCGGCTGGTGGTGATAAACCAGCTGGCGGTTCAGATAAACCTGCCGATAAACCAGCTAGTAAACCCACTGAAAACAACAATAAACCCAATAACAAACCCAATCAACAAAACGTTAATAAGCAACGCGAAGAAATTAAGAAAAAACAATTGGCTATTTTGAAGAAACAACAAGCTATTATCAAGAAACAAAACGCTAAAAGGAAGAAGCAACAAGCCATCAAGCAAAAGCAATTGGCCATAATTAAGAAGCAAAACAATATCCGCAAGAAACAACTTGCTTACATGAAGAAACAGGACGAGAATTTCAAAATACAAGAGAACAATATGAAGAGACTCCAAGCCGAGATAAAGAAAGCTTTAGCCGAAAAGAAAAGATTAGACGCTTTGTTGAAACAACAAAACAATCGTGGTTAAACAAATAAGTTAGAAAATTTTTAATTTGTTTATAAATAAATATCCTGTTTAGTAAGACAGTACAAATTAATAGATATTAATAATTATTTTTGGTTTTTATTCATTTGAAGAATTTAAGTTTAAAATATTAGCTTGCAAATTTATTTTTTTGTAAATTAAGCGGAAACTATTTTAGAACTTAGAGCGATATAAGCAATAGGGGCGTGGGCGACGATATGATAACATACGCCAGTTAAAAGAGCGATAGTATGTATTACGCATTTGTGTAATGCTCAAAAAAATTGGTCCTACGCCCACCTTAATGTATACCGATCGAGTTAGAAACACTTTATTTCATGGTGGGTACAAACCTCATCACAAACCCTTTATAGTATTTGATCAGTTTTTGATATTTTTTAAAATAATAAACAGATTTTCTGTTTATTTTATTTTCTGGCAGGATTTTATCATAAAATTTGTTAGAAAAAAATATTCTTTAAAAACTTATTTGTATTGAATTTGATCGCTGTACTTATATTTTCAAGCCAGTTATGAATGTTAAAATAATCTTTTAAAAGGATCTTATATTTAGGTTAGGCTAAAATATGGATAGATGTACGGGATCACTTGTTTGGATTCTAGCTTTTGGCTTTTTCCAATACCAAACAATCATTATCTATAGACAATATTTGTAGATAATTTAAGCCCCATATCTCTTTCTGTTCAGACCGCATCGTGTTTTCAACAACGAAAACTCTTGCTAATATAATCGATGATAGCACAAATAATTCCCCAGTAAAAATTGGAGCTTACATGCAAGCAGGTTTGTAAGGGAACGAAGCTATTTTCTCCCTTACAAACCTGCTTCGATAAGGCATGATTTTTATATAGCGAATTCCCACTTGGAAGCATTCCCACTAGTAAGCTTAAATATTATTTAAATATTTCACTTACAATCTGCTTCTCTGTAAGGGATAGTAGTAAGCTTTTAATTTTTTTCAGCTTACATTATAAAATTACTCCTATCATTGGTATTCCCTTATTTCCTGCTTCTCAGTAAGGCTTAATAGTAAGCGAATATAGATGCAGTTACTTCCCTTTTTAGCTTCCTAAAGTCTAAAAATTTTTTACTGGGTCCCGACTTATTGCAAAAAGTATAATATAATCGATGATAGCACCAATAATTCCCGACTTATGACAAAAAGTATTTTGATCTTATAAACATGTCGGAGAGTGCATATACATATTTTGGGTCCTTATTACATTCTAAAACGATATAAACATGTTCAAAAGCACGATTGGACTAATTTATCGATTTTAATCTTCGAGATATTTTGAAGCAAAAACTTCAAATGTCGATATCTCAGCAGATACAAGAGATTTTTAATTAAAATTATGATACATTTTGACATATGGTCAATTTCGTGTCAAGTGATCCAACTTTAAAAATCTATGTCTTCCGATTTGGATAGTAGGCCAGACACAAATTTTCAGCTCTATCGGCAAGAACTGCCGGACTTAGAAGGGGTCAAAGTTGGATATTTTGTTCATACAGGGTTTTATTCAAATATCTATAACTCTTCTCCTATTGGTCCTAACAAAAATTTTCCAAAGGAGTTCAGATAGGTATTTCTTCATTGTTTCCAAAAAAATTTTGGAATTTTTTTTTTAAAATTTGTTTTAAGAAATATATAAATTTTTAATTTTTTTCAAAAAAAACCCTGTATAAACAAAATGTCCAAATTTGACACACTCTAAGTCCGGCAGTTCTTGATTGATAGAGCTGAAAATTGGTGTCTGGCCTACTATCTAATAGTACTAACATTGGTGTAAATTTCATCCAAATCGATTTCTTGAGTTGGGTCATTTGACACGAAATTGCCTATATACGTTTTTCATAAAATAAGGACGAAATGAAATAAAAATTCACCAAGCTTTAGGCTAAGATACCTCGAAGAAGGAATAAAATATGACAGAGCTTTCTACCGATTGGACTTTTGAAAGGTTTTTTTTTTAAATTCCTGATGTGATGGATAAATGCTGAGGCCAGATTCGGATTTAGCGTTTTATACTATTCTGGAAAATTTTTCCTTGAGCTGCAGAATGAATAAACTTTTAGAAAGTAGTTCCTACACAACTGTACGAGTAATCGTATAGTCGTATACATAAATCAAAATGTCTTTACATCAAAACAGTCTTAGATTATATAATTAAAACAGCACATTTTAAATAGTAATACAAGAAATCGAATAAATATTTATACAACTCGAAAATATACAACAACTAAACAAATATATATAAAAAAACAAATAAATAACTACAGTAATTTAAATAATATATCAACAAATTCTGTCACATGTTAATATTTGGCTCTTTTGTTTAATGGTAAAATTATTACAAAATTTTACCATAAATAGTAAGCAAAATTACGAAGATTTATAGTTTAATTCAAGAGTTCATTGTATTAATAATATAATTATAATAAAATTTCCATTTTGAATTATTTGAAATATTAAAGGACAATGAAATTCTTAACTATTTTTATTTTTGGCTTAATATTGGCAACGACTCTTGCCCAGGATGCAACAACCCAAGCTCCTGATGATGGAGATAAAACAACTGCAGCTCCAGCTGATGGCGATAAACCAACTGATAAACCTGCGGACAAACCAGCAGATAAACCTGCTGGTGGCGATAAACCAGCTGGTGGCGATAAACCTGCAGGCGGAAGTAAGCCACCAGCAGATAGTCCTTCCAAAGGTGATTCACCCGCTACCACTAAAAAACCTGCCACCAAGAAACCTGCTCAAAATAACAACCTAAAAAAGGAAAATGAAAAGAGACGCCAACAAATTAAGAAACAACAAGAACAAATCAAGAACATGAAAAAATTGATCATGAAGGGACATCAGGCTAACCAAAAGAGACGCGAAGCTATCCAGAAAACAGCCGCTGAAAATAAGAAGAGACAACAGTTGATTAAGAAGAGAAACGAAGTCATGAAGAAAAGAAGTGAAACCGTTAATAAACAAAGGGAATATCTCAAGAAGTTGTTGGCCAGCAATGCAGCTGCTAGAAAGAAGTTAAATGCTGGTAGAGCTCCTAACAGAGGTTAAAAAAACATTTATTTAAATTTAAAAAAATATGTTTGTTCTTGATGATTCAATAAATAAAGGTTTTATTATTTCTGTTTAATAAAAATAAAATTTTTAATTAAATGTTAGTGGTGAGAGGTATAGACATAATTTTAAAATTTTCAGTTTCCGATTTTGATCCATAGAAAAAAGTTAAATTTCGTTTCAGTGATTAAAATTTTGCTTCTTACAATGAACTATATTTTCCTAATTAAAACTTAATTTGAACTAATTAGTTTATTAATTGAATATATTTTTTAAAAACTTTTTCTATATAGAAGTGAACGCATTTTATAAGGCCTCCAAACTTTAACAAAACATTTAAGATTCACCTTGGTTGGTTCACTTTTTGGTTAATTAAAATGATTTGTAAATTATTAGGAATTCAGAAGATCAATACTAATTATACAGGCCGACAAAAATTGAAAAAATTCGAAACCCTGAGACCAGGTAAGACGATTGGGCTGTGCTAAATCGGAATATGACCAGAGATTTGAGATATCGTGTCCTGAAATTTTAAAAAGACGTAATTTTTGGCCCATTTTGATACGTTATAACTGTGCCAAGACAACTTTATTCATAAAATGTTGGTTGCCATCTGAAAGTCTATTCTGTCAACTTTAAAATAAAGGCTTAACATCTGACATATCTTTTTTATTCTTCGAGATATCTTTACCTAAATCTTGATATAACAATAAAGGAATTTAAATTAACTCACAACTTGTTTATGTCGAATTTCAGAGCAATCAATACATGTATATATGTATGTATTTTAATAAAACCAAATGCCTTTTGAATAAAAATAGCTAAAAATTCTAATTTTAGAGATATATCGATGTTTCTGCACACGTTTATTTACACGTTTTGGTGTAATTTTTGGTTATCTTTTCGAGAACCTATTTGTACAAAATAAAACTTTAAAGTTAAGCTATTTTGCAACTCAAATTATAATAATGATATAGGCCAACAAATTTTTAAGCCAGAGTGAGTCCAAAGTACGGAGAAAAGAAAGAAGATATCAGAGGTTAAAACTTTATTTTCAGACGACATAACAAATTTTATCAATAAAGATGTCTTCGCGCAGTTATAACGCCTCAAATATGGCCAAAAATGAGAAATTTGTAATATTTATGACACGATATCTTGGGTTTTGGCCTTTGTAATTAAAAGGCAATGCTCCGCCTTTGACCGACATTTACAGTATTATTTCTAGTTAGATAATAATGATTTTTGTGTAATTTAGAAATTCGTGAGAGTTCAAAACACATCCCGAGAAGATATACAGTAGTACGTGGGGATGAGTGATTATCAGCAATATTTAGTAAAATTGGTCTACCAACAGACCAATTGAAAAAATATCCGTCCATTGGCTGTTATATTCAGTAATATAACAGCCAGTAATATTTTACAATTCATACAAAATTTTAATTAGCATATAAGAAACAAACAAATATTTATTTAACACGAAAACAGAACACAACTAAACTAATACAAAGAAAAACCAAACAAACAAATAACTACTATTTTTTTAAATATTTCAATTAATTCTTACACGTGTTAATATTTGCCTACGAAATTATTACAAAATTTTACCATAAATAGTAAGTTAAATTGCAAAGATTTATAGTTTGATTCAAGAGTTCATTGAATTACTAATACGATTTGCAAAGAAACTGAACTCATTTAAATATTAAAGGACAATGAAATTCCTAACAATTTTTATATTTGGCTTAATGCTGGCAATGACTCTTGCTCAGGATGCAACAACCGAAGCTCCTGCTGATGGAGATAAAACAACTGCAGCTCCTCCAGATGATGGCGATAAAACAACTGAAAAGCCAGCTGATAAGCCTGCTGGTGGTGATAAACCTGCCGATAAACCGGCTGGTGGTGATAAACCTGCTGGCGGTTCAGATAAACCTGCCGATAAACCAGCTAATAAACCCACTGAAAACACCAATAAACCCAATAACAAACCCAATCAGCAAAACGTCAATAAGCAACGCGAAGAAATTAAGAAAAAACAATTGGCTATTTTGAAGAAACAACAAGCTATTATCAAGAAACAAAACGCTAAAAGGAAGAAGCAACAAGCCATCAAGCAAAAACAATTGGCCATAATTAAAAAGCAAAATAATATCCGCAAGAAACAACTTGCATACATGAAGAAACAGGACGAGAACTTCAAAATACAAGAGAACAATATGAAGAGACTACAAGCCGAGATAAAGAAAGCTTTAGCCGAAAAGAAAAGATTAGATGCCTTGTTGAAGCAACAAAACAGACGTGGATAAAAAATTAAAGTTAAGAATATTATGTTAAATTTTTATATAAATAAAGATTCTGTTTTGTTATACAGTACAAATTAATAATTTTTGTTAATTATAGGGATGTAACAAATGCTCGCTTTTGCATATGCAAATGTGAATTAATTATTCGCTTAATTTTTAACACACTTTAGCCAGAAAATGGACTTTTATGTTTTCACTCAAAAATTTGGTTTTTGGTGGAAAACTAAAGTGATCACAGATTATCTTTCTTTTTGCCCTAGAGCCTCTAGTTTAACCAGAAAATGGACTTTTATGTTTTCACTCAAAAAATCAGTTTTTGATAGGAAATTAAATTGATCACAGATTATCTTTCTTTTTGCCTATAGTTTAGCCAGAAAATGGACTTTTATGTTTCCACTCAAAAATTCGGTTTTTGGTGGAAAGCTAAAGTGATCACAGATTATCTTTCTTTTTGCCCTAGCCCCTCTAGTTTAGCCAGAAAATGGACTTTTATGTTTTCATTCAAAAATTCGGTTTTTGGTGGAAAACTAAAGTGATCACAGATTATCTTTCTTTTTGCCCTAGCGCCTTTAGTTTAGCCAGAAAATGGACTTTTATGTTTTCACTCAAAAATTCAAATTTTGGTGGAAAACTAAAGTGATCACAGATAATCTTTCTTTTTGCCCTAGCGCAAAAATTCAATTATTGATGGAAAACTAAAGTGATCACAGATTACCCTTCCTTTTGCCCTAGCCCCTCTAGTTTAGCCAGAAAATGGACTTTTATGTTTTCGCTCAAAAATTAAGTTTTTGATAGGAAATTAAAGTGATAACAGATTATCTTTCTTTTTGCCATAGCGCCTATAGTTTAGCCCGAAAATGGACTTTTATGTTTTCACTCAAAAATTCAAATTTTGGTGGAAAACTAAAGTGATCACAGATAATCTTTCTTTTTGCCCTAGCGCAAAAATTCAATTATTGATGGAAAACTAAAGTGATCACAGATTACCCTTCCTTTTGCCCTAGCGCCTATAGTTTAGCCAGAAAATGGACTTTTATGTTTTCACTCAAAAATTCGGTTTTTGGTGGAAAACTAAAGTGATCACAGATTATCTTTCTTTTTGCCCTAGCGCCTCTAGTTTAGCCAGAAAATAGACTTTTATGTTTTCACTCAAAAATTCAATTATTGATGGAAAACTAAAGTGATCACAGATTACCCTTCCTTTTGCCCTAGCGCCTATAGTTTAGCCAGAAAATGGACTTTTATGTTTTCATTCAAAAATTCGGTTTTTGGTGGAAAACTAAAGTGATCCCAGATTATCTTTCTTTTTGCCCTAGCGCCTCTAGTTTAGCCAGAAAGTAGACTTTTATGTTTTCACTCAAAAATTGGGTTTTTGGTGGAAAACTAAAGTGATCACAGATTACCCTTCCTTTTGCCCTAGCCCCTCTAGTTTAGCCAGAAAATGGACTTTTATGTTTTCGCTCAAAAATTAAGTTTTTGATAGGAAATTAAAGTGATAACAGATTATCTTTCTTTTTGCCCTAGCGCTTCTAGTTTAGCCAGAAAATGGACTTTTATGTTTTCATTCAAGAATTTGGGTTTTGGTGGAAAACTAAAGTGATCACAGATTATCTTTCTTTTTGCCCTAGCGCCTCTAGTTTAGCCAGAAAATAGACTTTTATGTTTTCATTCGAAAATTCGGTTTTTGGTGGAAAACCAAAGTGATCACAGATTATCTTTCTTTTTGCCCTAGCGCCTCTAGTTTACCCAGAAAATAGACTTTTATGTTTTCACTCAAAAATTCGGTTTTTGATTGAAAACTAAAGTGATCACAGATTATCTTTCTTTTTGCCCTAGCGGTTCTAGTTTAGCCAGAAAATGGACTTTTATGTTTTCATTCAAAAATTCGGTTTTTGGTGGAAAACTAAAGTGATCCCAGATTATCTTTCTTTTTGCCCTAGCGCCTCTAGTTTAGCCAGAAAGTAGACTTTTATGTTTTCACTCAAAAATTGGGTTTTTGGTGGAAAACTAAAGTGATCACAGATTACCCTTCCTTTTGCCCTAGCCCCTCTAGTTTAGCCAGAAAATGGACTTTTATGTTTTCGCTCAAAAATTAAGTTTTTGATAGGAAATTAAAGTGATAACAGATTATCTTTCTTTTTGCCCTAGCGCTTCTAGTTTAGCCAGAAAATGGACTTTTATGTTTTCATTCAAGAATTTGGGTTTTGGTGGAAAACTAAAGTGATCACAGATTATCTTTCTTTTTGCCCTAGCGCCTCTAGTTTAGCCAGAAAATAGACTTTTATGTTTTCATTCGAAAATTCGGTTTTTGGTGGAAAACCAAAGTGATCACAGATTATCTTTCTTTTTGCCCTAGCGCCTCTAGTTTACCCAGAAAATAGACTTTTATGTTTTCACTCAAAAATTCGGTTTTTGGTGGAAAATTAAAGTGATCACAGATTATCTTTCTTTTTGCCCTAGCGCCTCTAGTTTAGCCAGAAAATAGACTTTTATGTTTTCATTCGAAAATTCGGTTTTTGGTGGAAAACTAAAGTGATCACAGATTATCTTTCTTTTTGCCCTAGCGCCTCTAGTTTAGTCAGAAAATAGACTTTTATGTTTTCGCTCAAAAATTAAGTTTTTGATAGGAAATTAAAGTGATCACAGATTATCTTTCGTTTTGCCCTAGAGCCTCTAGTTTAGCCAGAAAATGGACTTTTATGTCTTTTTTCAAAACATCGGTTTTGGTGGAAAACAAAAGCGATCACAAATTATCTTTCTTTTTGCCCTAGCGCCTCTAGTTTAGCCAGAAAATAGACTTTTATGTTTTCACTAAAAAATTCAAATTTTGATGAAAAACTAAAGTGATCACAGATTATCTTTCTTTTTGCCCTAGCGGTTCTAGTTTAGCCACAAAGTGGACTTTTATGTTTTCGCTCAAAAATTAAGTTTTTGATAGGAAATTAAAGTGATCACAAATTATCTTTCTTTTTGCCCTAGCGCCTCTAGTTTAGCCAAAATATAGACTTTTATGTTTTCACTCAACAATTTAAATTTTGATGGAAAACTAAAGTGATCACAGATTATCTTTCTTTTTGCCCTAGCGCCTCTAGTTTAGCCAGAAAATAAACTTTTATGTTTTCATTCAAAAATTCGGTTTTTGATGGAGAACTAAAGTGATCACAGATTATCTTTCTTTTTGCCCTAGCGCCTCTAGTTTAGCCAGAAAATAGAATTTTATGTTTTCATTCAAAAATTCGGTTTTTGGTGGAAAACCAAAGTGATCACAGATTATCTTTCTTTTTGCCCTAGCGCCTCTAGTTTAGGTGGAAAATGGACTTTTATGTTTTCACACAAAAATTCGGTTTTTGGTGGAAAACCAAAGTGATCACAGATTATCTTTCTTTTTGCCCTAGCGCCTCTAGTTTAGGTGGAAAACCAAAGTGATCACAGATTATCTTTCTTTTAGCCCTAGCGCCTCTAGTTTAGCCAGAAAATAGACTTTTATGTTTTCACTCAAAAATTCAAATTTTGATGGACAACTAAAGTAACACAGATTATCTTTCTTTATGCCCTAGCGCCTCTAGTTTAGCCAGAAAATGGACTTTTATGTTTTCACTCAAAAATTAGTTTTTTGGTAAAAAACTAAAGTGATCACAGATTATCTTTCTTTTTGCCCTAGCGCCTCTGGTTTAGCCAGAAAATGGACTTTTATGTTTTCATTAAAAAATTCGGTTTTTGGTGGAAAACTAAATTGATCACAGATTATCTTTCTAGTTTAGCCAGTAAATGGACTTTTATGTTTTCACTCAAAAATTCGGTTTATGGTGGAAAACTAAAGTGATCACATTATGATTATCTTTCTTTTTGCCCTAGCGCCTCTAGTTTAGCCAGAAAATAGACTTTCATGTTTTCACTCAAAAATTCAAATTTTGATGGACAACTAAAGTAACACAGATTATCTTTCTTTATGCCCTAGCGCCTCTAGTTTAGCCAGAAAATGGACTTTTATGTTTTCACTCAAAAATTAGTTTTTTGGTAAAAAACTAAAGTGATCACAGATTATCTTTCTTTTTGCCCTAGCGCCTCTGGTTTAGCCAGAAAATGGACTTTTATGTTTTCATTAAAAAATTCGGTTTTTGGTGGAAAACTAAATTGATCACAGATTATCTTTCTTTTTGCCCTAGCGCCTCTAGTTTAGCCAGTAAATGGACTTTTATGTTTTCACTCAAAAATTCGGTTTTTGGTGGAAAACTAAAGTGATCACATTATGATTATCTTTCTTTTTGCCCTAGCGCCTCTAGTTTAGCCAGAAAATGGACTTTTATGTTTTCATTCAAAAATTCGGTTTTTGGTGGAAAACTAAAGTGATCACAGATTATCTTCGTTTTGCCCTAGCGCCTCTGGTTTAGCCAGAAAATAGACTTTTATGTTTTCATTCAAAAACTCAGTTTTTGGTGAAAACTAAAGTGATCACATATTATCTTTCTTTTTGCCCTAGCGCCTCTAGTTTAAGCAGAAAATAGGCTTTTATGTTTTCACTCAAAAATTCAGTTTTTGGTGGAAAACTAAAGTGATCTCAGATTATCTTTCTTTTTGCCCTAGCGCCTCTAGTTTATCCAGAAAATAGACTTTTATGTTTTCACTAAAAAATTCAAATTTTGATGGAAAACTAAAGTGATCACAGATTACCTTTCTTTTTGCCCTAGCGCCTCTAGTTTAGCCAGAAAATGGACTTTTATGTTTTCACACAAAAATTCGGTTTTTGTTGGAAAACTAAAGTGATCACATATTATCTTTCTTTTTGCCCTAGCGCCCCTAGTTTAGCCAGAAAATAGACTTTTATGTTTTCACTAAAAAATTCAAATTTTGATGGAAAACTAAAGTGATCACAGATTATCTTTCGTTTTGCCCTAGCGCTTCTAGTTTAGCCAGAAAATGGACTTTTATGTTTTTATTCAAAAATTCGGTTTTTGATGGAAAACTAAAGTGATCACAGATTATCTTTCTTTTTGCCCTAGCTCCTCTAGTGTAGCCAGAAAATTGACTTTTATGTTTTCATCCAAAAAATCGATTTTTGGTGGAAAACTAAAGTGTTCATAGATTTCCTTTCTTTTTGCCCTAGCGCCTCTAGTTTAGCCAGAAAATAGACTTTTATGTTTTCATTCAGAAAATAGATTTTTGGTGGAAAACTAAAGTGATCACAGATTTCATTTCTTTTTGGTGAAAAACTGAAGTGATCACATATTATCTTTCTTTTTGCCCTGGCGCCTGTAGTTTAGCCAGAAAATGGGTTTTTTGCTTTGACTCATAAATTCGGTTTTTGGTGGGAAATTAAAGTGATCACAGATTATCTTTCGTTTTGCCGTAGCGCCTCTAGTTTAGCCAGAAAATGGACTTTTATGTTTTCACACAAAAATTCGGTTTTTGGCGATAAGTTAAAGTAATCACAGATTATCTTTCTTTTTGTCATAGCGCGTCTAGTTTAGCCAGAAAATGGATTTTTGTGTTTTCAATCAATAATTCAGATTGATGGAAAATTAAAGTGATCACAGATTTGTTTTCTTTTTGCCCTAGCGCCTCTGGTTTAGCCAGAAAATTTACTTTTATGTGTTCACGCTAAAATTCAGTTTGTGGCGAGAAATTAAAGTGATCACAGTCTTTCTTTATTTTTGATCTAACGCCAGAAAATGGACTTTTAAAGTGATTTTTGGTGGGAAATTATCACAGATTTTCTTTATTTTTGGACTTTTATGATTTCGCTAAAAAAATTCAGCTTTTGCCCCAGCGACTCTAGTTTGGCCAGAAATGGACTAAAAATTCAGTTTTGGCGAAAAATTAAAGTTATCACAGAATTTTTTCTTTTTGCCCTAGCTACTTTAGTTCAGCCAGAATTAGGACTTTTGTGTTTTCACCCTATGATGGGGTTTTATGTTAAATCTTCTTTGTATCTGCCCATTTTGAATAGAAAATTCTATAAAAAAATAAATTATATAATAATAAAATATAATGTTTGTTTATCTAATATAGGCAAAAAACATTATCAAAGCGAATTACCAAAAATAATAAAGTAGTTAATTTAACAAGAAATTAAATAAATATTTTTTTAATTCGTAAACATATAACAACTAAACAAATATGAATTGAAAACAAACATAGAACTACAACTATTTTAGTACATATTTATGTAGTATTTAAAAAAAGTTTACACGTGTTAATAATTAACTCCGAAATTGTTACAAAATTTTACCATAAATAGTAAACCAAATGACAAAGATTTATAGTTTAATTCAAGAGTTCATTGAATTAATAATATAATTACAAACTAAACTTTTCAGTTTATATTGAATTACTAAAGCACAATGAAATTCCTAACAATTTTTATTTTTGGTTTAATATTAGCTACGACTCTTGCCCAGGATACAACAACCGAAGATCCTGCTGATGGAGATAAAACAACTGCAGCTCCAGCTGATGGCGATAAACCAACTGATAAACCTGCGGACAAACCAGCAGAAAAACCCGCTGATAAACCAGCTGGTGGCGATAAGCCTGCAGGAGGAAATAAACCACCAGCAGATAGTCCTTCCAAAGGTGATTCACCCGCCGCTACTAAAAAACCTGCCACCAAGAAACCTGCTCAAAATAACAACCTAAAAAAGGAAAATGAAAAGAGACGCCAACAAATTAAGAAACAACAAGAACAAATCAAGAACATGAAAAAATTGATCATGAAGGAACATCAGGCTAACCAAAAGAGACGCGAAGCTATCCAGAAAAGGGCTGCTGAAAATAAGAAGAGACAACAGTTGATTAAGAAGAGAAACGAAGTCATGAAGAAAAGAAGTGAAACCGTTAATAAACAAAGGGAATATCTCAAGAAGTTATTGGCCAGCAATGCTGCTGCTAGAAAGAAGTTAAATGCTGGTAGAGCTCCTAACAGAGGTTAAAAATATTTATTTTTAATTTGGAATAACATTTGTATTCTATATAATTTTATAAATAAACATTTTTATTTCTAATTTGTAAATAAATTATAGTTTTTATTAAAATATCAGATGTAAAATGTAAGTAGGCACAGTTTTAAAGTAGGTAGAAAGTTTTCCATAATAGTTTCAATTTGTATTATTTATAAAAACAAGTGCTAAATTAGCCTATAAAGAATGCTTATAATATATTCATAATATATTTTTATTTTTTTCTTTCTAGAATTTTTTAAAATTTTTTTTTTTTGAATTTTTTTATGCTCCCCTTTTTGGACATATGATCATGCAATTACTTTTCTATCATATCAAATGAAAGAATTTTCGGAAATCTTATTTTATGTATGAACATATTGCCGAAGATATCTGGGGTCTTCAGAATTTTCTTTTTAAAACATACGAACACACAGACGGTCTTCACAAAATCAACTTCACTATCCATAAGGATTCTGAATTTATGCTTTATATGTCGGAAAAGTATATTGTAGAAACGGCAAATTTCATACATATACTCATCTCACAAAAGTCAAGTTTAGGTTGTTAGGCCTCTATCGGGCCTGTTGTGCGCTCCTTTTCATGAAAAAATTTCACTGAATGTATAATTTTTAAATGTTCAGAAACTCAGTTTCCTGGATGTAATTCCTAAGAATATCCGTGTTAGTCTGGAATGTTATTTCCGGAATAATATCACTTCCAAGATACTTGGATCGAACTTCGACGAATTCCTGACAGTGGCAATGAAAGTGCTCCAAAGTTTCACTGTCCTCTTCACATGATCTACATTCATCTGAGTCCGCACGTCCAATATTGTATAGATGTGCTCGTAATCCTGTGTGTCCACTCAGAATACGTAGTATCATACTAACCTCGGACTTTTTTTGAGGAGATTTCTCGTCTTGTTCTCATCAGGGTAACCCCATAGGATCTTTGTGGTTTTACCCACCTTTTCATTATTCGAAGAAGGATTCTCTCGCCCATATTTTCAGTTCAGCTTTTGTTGCGTCGAATGTTTTTGCGTTTGTCAGGTTAATTACCTCGAGCTCTTTTCCCTTGAAGCATATGATGCAAACCTTATCTTTGGGAGAATATTCAGTTAAAACTTTCTTACAATCCAATACGATCTTAGATTTAATTCTATCACCTGCTATCATCCTAATTGCCAGAAGGCAAATATATATCAATAAATTATTTTAATCCAATTTACACATTCCGTTATTGCTCGGACTTCTGCCTGTAAACTTGTATTATGATTAGGTAAACGGTGGTGTAGTTCTATTTCTGGACCTTCAATATAGAACCCCAGGCCCACCTTTTACCTCAATTTGGAGCCATCCGTGTAGCAACGGATTCCTACTGGTATTTGCTCCAGAGTCTCTGGTAGGAATCGTACCCATGACCCACAACCTGATAGATAAATTCACCAACTAATTATTCTATCGGGGAATCAACAATGAGATTATATATGGAAACAAATAACAAGTACATTTAATAATAAAAATTTCATAAGGCACTTGAATTGTGTAAAATTATTAAAATAATTTTAATTTATACATATTGCATGTATTGAAGAATTCTGCCAAATATGGAAATGTCTGACACTTTTATCATAACATTTCTTTAAACAATTTAAACTTTTTAAGCCTTAAGCACATAAACATTAGACCGACTCACAGAAAAATGTGCTTCTGTTAAGTCTTTTATTTTGTTATAACGAGGCTTCTATACCATTCTAGACTAACTACATAGAAAACATGATCTCTAAATTAAGTGAGTCAGACTAATAAATATATTTTTTTATTAAGCTAAACAAACACAACTGTAATTCGGCATTTTACTTAACAACAAAATAGAAACAAATTTATTTTATTTAGATTTGTAAATGTTTTGATGTTAAATTAAATATTAGCATAAGGCAACAACTATATCAATAAAAAAGACAATTTTTATTTACAAAAATATTTACATATACAAGAAAAAAAAAAATTAAAAAATTTGCAATAAATAGTGAATTAATCTGCCAGAAGTTATATTTCAATTCCATAGGTGATTGAACTTACAACTAGCCGTAAAACAATGAAATTTCTAACAGTTTTTATATTTGGCTTAATATTGGCAACGACTCTTGCCCAGGATGCAACAACCGAAGCTCCTGCTGATGGAGATAAAACAACCGAAGCTGCTCCAGCTGATGGAGATAAAACAACTGAAAAGCCAGCTGATAAGCCTGCTGGAGGTGATAAACCTGCCGATAAACCGGCTGGTGGTGATAAACCTGCTGGCGGTTCAGATAAACCTGCCGATAAACCAGCTAGTAAACCCACTGAAAATAAACCCAATAACAAACCTAATCAACAAAACGTCAATAAGCAACGCGAAGAAATTAAGAAAAAACAATTGGCTATTTTGAAGAAACAACAAGCTATTATTAAGAAACAAAACGCTAAAAGGAAGAAGCAACAAGCCATCAAGCAAAAGCAATTGGCCATAATTAAGAAGCAAAATAATATCCGTAAGAAACAACTTGCATACATGAAGAAACAGGACGAAAATTTCAAAATTCAAGAGAACAATATGAAGAGACTTCAAGCTGAGATAAAGAAAGCTTTAGCGGAGAAGAAAAGATTAGATGCCTTGTTGAAGCAACAAAACAATCGGGGATAAAATTTTGAGGTTCAAAATATTTTAATTTTTTTTATTATCTAATAAATATTCTGTTAAGTCAGACAGTACAAATTAATAATCAATATTAATTGTTTTTAGTTAGTTTTCATGTTTTGTCATAGTATCTAGTGGCATAAAGTTTTTGGGCTCTGCGACACTTTAAATAAAGAAATATTTTTGTAAGTTTTATAAGATAATATTATAGTGCCCAGTGTCAGAGTATCTATGGATAATCGTATAACCGCCTGAGATTTTTTCAATTAAAAAAGAAAATAATTAGGGAAACATGAATGATTACTAGTCATTACTCATTATACCCTACACCACTATAGTGGAAAGGGTATTACACGTTTGTGCTGATGTTTGTAACGCATTAAAATATTAGTACTATACCCACCTTAAAATATAGCGATCTACTTAGAATCACTTTCTGAGTCGATTTAACGATGTCCGTCCGTCCGTCCGTCCGTCCGTCCGTCCGTCCGACCGTCCGTGTGTCCATGTAAACGTTGTTATCAAAGTACAGGTCGCAATTTTCAAGATAATTTGATGAAATTTGGAATACACGTTTGTTTTGACCCAAGAAAGCCCCCTTCAGAAAGTGACTTGAATATCTGCAATTCATTTATTAGCTATTGCTATTGCAATGAAATTTAGTGCAGACAAATATTATATATATTATATAAATATTATATAAATACAAATCTATCCATCCCATTTTATCGGGATCTTTCCACATTTGATCCTATCCCCCATATAAAGCCTCTTTTAGAAAATAAGTTTTTCGTCAATAAATTTCTTAAATTAATCGGAATCAAGGTAATATTCAAGATAAATGCTTTATTATGAAAAAAAAATCACATTTAATATTCATAACTGGTGTATCATATAGTCGGCCAAGCCCGACTATACTTTCTTACTTCTTATTTTCTTTAAACTCTATAAAGTATTTCATTAATAAATTTAAGTTTAACAATATTTCATAATTACTTTAATACATTTCAACTTAAACAGATTGTAGATATTACACCGTCCGACACTCAAAATTAGACACGAACAGGATGATATACGTTTGAAACTATAAATTTAATGGAGTAAAACTGCGTTTTCACATATATCAGCCGATTCTTGTCTAACGAATTTTTTCTCTTAGCTTATCGGAAGTTGTAATCAATTTAAAAATTCTAATATTGAAAATTTTTGAAAATTATTTCCAAAAACTGTTGAAACAATCTCCATAGTAAGTAAATAAGCTATTGTAATAATACGTCTTAATTTACACAAAATGTTCAGTCACAAAGAAACATTCATATAATTAAATGTAACATATCAAAACAGTGTGTTAAGCGTTACATTTCATAGCCTACTTTAGGGCATTAATATAGATTTATGTTAACATAAAATTTATTTATGCTAAATTTCATCACGTTGTTAGTGTTTAAAAGTGAATTGTGAATATTCAAGTTATTTTCGAAAGAGGACTTTGTATGGGGTCTAAGGTCGAACGAGGTCCGATTATTACGAAATTTGGCAAGTTCAACAATGCGTATATAAAACTTAGTTGATCCATTTTTTTCGAAAGCCCTTTTTGAGCCCACTAAATTGGTATAGGGTATACAATTTTTATTAAATATTTGTAGTTGCCTTACTATTTCAATATGGATATAAAATGAAATGGGACGATCCTAACAATTCTACGGAATATTTTATAACATTTCCTTCATTATTCTTGAAACTATACTAATAATATTGGTCTGCAATAAAATCCTTCAATAATTGAAAAATTGTAACTGAATTGAAAATATTAATAAACAAAACCTACATCATACTTCTTTCTGTCACGTCGAGTTTCCTAATGAAATCGAGTTTTATCGCTGTACTTATAGTTTTAAGCCTGTAATGAGCTTGTATGGGGGCGAAAGCGAAAACGTTTACCGATATTCAATACCAAACAAATCTTACATATATAGGGAATATGTATTTGTGTGAAATTTCAATCCTCTTTCTGTTCGTGCTTTCAACAGACACACAGTTAGACGGACGGACATGGCTAGATCGTCTTAGAATTAAGTAAGGACTCATGTTACAAACGGAATGATAAAATCAATATACCCCCTAACTTTTTTGAGGGTGGTTATACAAATAAAAAAATTAAAATTGCTTAAAACTTCAACATGCACTAAAATTCTTAGATATCCTAGAAAGATTAGAGTGGCGTATCAATATTCTGTATCGATTCCAAAATGATTAAATTGAAAATTATTTTTTATTAATTAAGACCGATTGCTTCTAATAACAATATGTACATACTAGATGCATACTTTTCTCAAAAGCCAAATTTCCCAATTTTTCTTTTAGTTAAGATTTTGGAAAAACAACAAAAAATAAATAATTTGTATAGTATATGTGGATCAATTTTGTACAAGAAATCAAACAAATATTAAAACGAAAACAGACAACAGCTAAGCAAATACGAATTAAAAACAAACAGAAAAAACTTTACACGTGTTAATTATTAACTCTGAAATTATTACAAAATTTTACCATAAATAGTAAGCGAAATGAAAAAGATTTATAGTTTAATTCAAGAGTTCATTGAATTAATAATATAATTACAAACTAAACTTTTCAGTTTATATTGAATTATTAAAGCACAATGAAATTCCTAACAATTTTTATTTTTGGTTTAATATTAGCTACGACTCTTGCCCAGGATACAACAACCGAAGATCCTGCAGATGGAGATAAAACAACTGCAGCTCCAGCAGATGGCGATAAACCAACTGATAAACCTGCAGATAAACCAGCAGATAAACCCGCTGAAAAGCCAGCTGGTGGCAATAAGCCTGCGGGAGGAAATAAACCACCAGCAGATAGTCCTTCTAAAGGTGATTCACCAGCCGCTACTAAAAAACCAGCCACCAAGAAACCTGTTCAAAATAACAATCTAAAAAAGGAAAATGAAAAGAGACGCCAACAAATTAAGAAACAACAAGAACAAATCAAGAACATGAAAAAATTGATCATGAAGGAACATCAGGCTAACCAAAAGAGACGCGAAGCTATCCAGAAAAGGGCTGCTGAAAATAAGAAGAGACAACAGTTGATTAAGAAGAGAAACGAAGTCATGAAGAAAAGAAGTGAAACCGTTAATAAACAAAGGGAATATCTTAAGAAGTTATTGGCCAGTAATGCTGCTGCTAGAAAGAAGTTGAATGCTGGTAGAGCTCCTAACAGAGGTTAATATTTTTTAATTTAGAATAATATTTTTATTCTTTGTGATTTAATAAATAAAGTTTTTATTTTTTCTACTTAAAAAGAAAATCTTTTATTATATCTCAGTCATGAAACTTAGGCACAATTTTAAAATTCACATAAACTTAGTTAACAAATTTAAGAATTTTCCGCAAAAAGTTAAGCAACTTTTGACGCGTTGACAGCTGATCAGGGTTGTATTTTGTTTTGTGAAGAATAAGAATAAACTAAAATGAAATAAATTTCACCAACAATGAAAGAAAAATATTTAAAAATAAACAAAAACTTAAAATTTTGATTTTTGAAACAGTAATAGTCTTAAAAACATTAAAAGAAAGATCAAAATGACGCGTGGAGTCTAACTTGCTGCTTGTAAGGCGCGAAAAGTTTGAAAAGCGTTGCCGCCTCAACGCGTGATGTGTACTTCCACCTTTACTACAAACTAAAAAAATCGAATGATTACATGTAACAAAAAAACTTTGCAGATATTCACGATATCTAAGACGTTTTAAACGTCATCTTCTTGCTATAACAAAGATGTCAAAGATGTTTATCATCTCCATTTTTCGAGATATATTAACATAAAGTTTAAAACAACGATAAATTAAAATAAAAATATATTGTCTTGTATTTACGGCAAAAAGTCAATCTGAGGAAATAAAAGAGATTTTAAAATTCAAACCCCTGGATTCATGTTTATAATGAAAAAGGATCGAAAAATCTGCAATTACTAAACAAAATTTGTATAAAATATATGGACAACTTTGTGTCAAGTGACCCAACTCAAAAAATAGATTTGGATGAAATTTGCACCAAGGTTATCACTATTCGATAGTAGGCCAGATACACATTTTTAGCTTTATCGGTCAAGAACTACCGGTGTTAGAGGGGGTCAAATTTGGACATTTTGGTCATACATGGTTTTTCTAAGTGAGAGTAACTTTTTACCTATTGGTCCTAGCAAAAATTGTCAAAAGGAATTTTGATAGCTATTTTTTTACTGTTTCCAAAAAACATTATTTTTAACAATTTTTTTTTTATTTTTCTGGGCCCTTTTTTTGCTATACAATTTCCTTTAAGGGTCGCTTAATGGGATGCGAGCGTGATAAAGTTTGCTGATTTTTTTTCAACAAATTTTACTTCGATCAAAATTTTTACTGAGGCCTCTATCAAAAAAATCTTTTATATTTTTTTCGTATAATCTCTAATGAATATTCCTGGGTTATTTTGTTTGTATTCCGAAACTAATTTTTTTTATCGTATAAAAGCAAAGGTAAATCAGAAGACTATAATCTTAGAAATGTCAATATAAGTTAAGTTTTTGTTTCAGTTGAGATTTTAGTAAAAACAACAATTAATATACAACTAGAACAATATTTACACTTGGATAAGTTATACAAGAAATCAAATAAATATTTATTTAATTCGAAAACAACTAAACAAACAAGAATGATTAATTACTATAATAATCTGCTGAAAAATTTTTACACGTGTTAATATTTGCCTAAGAAATTATTACAAATTTTTACCATAAATAGTAAGATTAATGGCAAAGATTTATAGTTTAATTCAAGTGTTCATTGAATTAATAATATAATTTAAATCGTAACCAAAAACATCCAAATATTAAAGGACAATGAAATTCTTAACAATTTTTATATTTGGCTTAATATTGGCAATGACTATTGGCGAGGAATCGACTACTGAAGGGGGAGATAAAACAACCCAAGCTGCTCCAGCTGGTGGCGATGAAACAACTGAAAAATCGGCTGATAAGCCAGCAGGTGGTGATAAACCTGCCGACAAACCAGCTGGTGGAGATAAACCATCTGGTGGCAAAAAACCAGCTGGTGGTTCAAATAAACCTGCCAATAATAAACCAGCTAATAAGCCCAACAAAAAACCCAATAAAAAACCTAATCAACAAAACGTCAATAAACAACGCCAAGAAATTAAGAAAAAACAATTAGCCTTTATGAAAAAACAACAAGCTATTATCAGGAAACAAAACGCTAAAAGAAAGAAGCAACAAGCCATTAAGAAGAAGCAATTGGCCAAAATTAAGAATCAGGAAACCATTCGTAAGAAACAATTTGCATATGTTAGGAAACAAAATGACAATTTCAAAATTCAAGAGAATAACATGAAAAAACTCCAAACCCAGATAAAGAAAGCTTTAGCTGAAAAGAAAAGATTAGACGCTTTGTTGAAGCAACAAAACAGACGTGGATAAGATATTATAATTAATAATATTATTTTAATGTGTTTATAAATAAATATCCTGTTTAGTCAGACAGTACTAACTAATAATTATTATTATTTTTCTTTATAGAAGGAATTTGTATTTAACATATTATATTTATGTTAACTTAGTTTTTGAAATGTACACAATTTCCGCATCTACAGTATATACATATGGGCCATTCCATGTCAAGTGACCAAACCTAAAAAAATCGATGTCTATGAAATTTGCTATTATCTATAGTAGGCCAGGCACAAATTTTCATCACTATCGATTTTTCAATATGTATTTCGAATCTCATATACCCACCATCAAACCGTATGTTTGATGGACCGATCCGCACTAAATTTGGTAGAGAGATTTTAACTCGCTTTAAGGTCATTTTCTGAAGGGGAGCTTATATGAGGATCAATCATATGCCGATTCATAAGAAACTTACTTATGTCGAATTTTATCTTAATACTCGTACTTTTAAGCCAGTAATGAGCGTTAGACTAATTTTCTGAAAGGGACCTTATATCGGGGTAGGATCAATTATAGACCGATCCACATTTTTAAACCAGAAATGTTCGTTAATGTAATTTTCTTAAGGGGACTTTATATAGGGGGGTAGGGTCAATTGTGGACCGATCAGCACTAAATTTGGTAGAGAGATTTTAACTCGCTTTAAGGTCATTTTCTGAAGGGGAGCTTATATGAGGATCAATCATATGCCGATTCATAAGAAACTTACTTATGTCGAATTTTATCTTAATACTCGTACTTTTATGCCAGTAATGAGCGTTAGAGTAATTTTCTGAAAGGGACCTTATATCGGGGTAGGATCAATTATAGACCGATTCACATAAAATTTGGTTATGAGATTTTGGCTCGCAAGGAACAGAAAATTTGGTACATAGATTTTGGTTCGTAAAAGACCTACTTACATATGTCAATTTCATCGCTATACTTGTATTTTGAATCCAGTAATGAGCGTTAAAGCCACCTTAAAGTATACCAATAGGCTTAGAATCAGTCCGTCCGTCCATGTAAACTTTGTAATCAAACTACAGGTCGCAATTTTGAAAATAATTCAATGAAATTTGGTACATGATCTTCAATGGTACCGGAAACGAAGCCTATTGAAAATGATTAACATCGGTCCATTATTTCAAATAGCCCCCATACAACTGAACCCGACGAATAGGGCTTTTAAGTTCATAATTATGTTTAATATACTCGTATCTCGACAAAAAGCTGCAAAACCAAGTTCTATACTAGGGTCTCATTTGACCGTAGCCCCTATACAAAGCCCCCTTCAAAATTTTACTTAAATGTCCACAATTTTATTAAACAATAAATGACTTAAGTATATCTGAGGCAAGGTACAATTCAACATAAATTAAAACTAAATCACATTTTATTTTTGTAAAAGGTGTAGGGTGCTATATGGTCGGCTTCACCCGATTATAATTTCTTACTTCTTTTTAAATATAAATAATAAAACCTTTATTAAATTGTTATTTTAAAAAAATTTAACCTCTATAAGGAGCTCTACTAGCATTCAACTTCTTTTTAGCAGCAGTATTGATGGCCAATAGCTTCTAGAGATATTCCTTTTGTTTTTTAACAGTTTCACTTCTTTTCTTCATGACTTCGTCTCTCTTCTTAATCGTCTGTTGTTTCTTCTTATTTTCAGCGGCTCTATTCTGGATAGCTGCTCGTCTCTTTTGATTAGCCTGGTGTCGCTTTATGATCAAGGTTTTCATTTTCTTGATTTCTTTTTGTTGTTTCTTAATTCGTTTGCGTCTCTTTTGATTTTCCTTTTGTAAGTTGTTATTTTGAGCGGGTTTCTTGGTGGTCTCAGCAGGTTTTTTAGAAGGGTGGACTTGTTGATGATGGTTTATTTCCTCCTGCAGGTTTATCGCCACCAGCTGGTTTGTTGACGGGTTTATCTTTAGGTTTTTGAGTTGTTTTATCGCCATCAGCTGGAGGACTAGCAGTTGTTTTATCTTCATCAGCAGCAGGGCCTTCGGTTATTGCATCCTGGGCCAGAGTCATTGTTCTTTCCATACAAATTGGAATTTTTTGAAGTCGTAAAGTGCGCTTGTAAAAATAGATTTTATTTTATTTTGAGAACGTTTATTTTTATGCTAATATTTTTAGGTACTCATTCTCTCAACAGCATTACCATACTTTTGAAATATTTTCATACATTTTATAAACAAAACCATGTAAATAGGCAACGAAAAATAAAAACAAAAGAAAATAAATAGAAATATCAGACAATTTATAGTTACTATATCGTTTTGACGACGTTTTTGCTTGAAGTTAGAGTCGTGTTCTGTTTCATCATTAAGACAAAAATAAAAATTGTTAGGAATTTCATTTTTCAATACAAACCGTTAAACTTTGTTGTAATTATATTTTTAATTCAATCTTTGTCATTTGGGGTACTATTTATGTTAAAATTTTGTAATAATTTAAGAAACAATTATAAGGAATTAATTAAGATGGGGGGTGGGTGGTGTATATTGATTTTGTCATTCCGTTTGTAATACATCAAAATATTTGCCTAAGACCCATAAAAGCTACTTATGAATTTCTAAGACCATCTAGCCATGTCTGTCCGTCTGTCTGTAGAGAATTGAAATTTCGCTAAAATTAAATAATTATATATAGAGATGAAATTTCACATAAACAAGTTTTATAAAAGCTTAAGGCCCGTATTCAGAAAGAAGAATGAAAAACAGTATTTAAAATTTTATATGAAAACAAGTAGGAAAGTATAGTCGGGCATGGCCGACCATATAATACCCTACACCATGAGTATATTTTAAAAATTTTTATTTTTCATAACGAAACTTTTATGTTGAATTTTACCTTAATTGCAAAGTATGTAATTTTTTGATAAAAAACTAATTTTCTAAATGAGGCTTCATATAGGAGTATAGGTCAAACATGCTTGGTCCAAATTTCATCAAATTATCTTGAAAATTGCGGCCTGTACCTTGCGCACAAAGTTTACATGGACAGCCAGCCAGCCAGCCAGCCGGACAGACGGACGGACATGTCTTAATCGACTCAAAAAATGATTCTGAATCGATCGGTATACTTTAAGGTGGGTGTAGGACCAATATTTTTGTGTGTTACAAACATCAGCACAAACGTATAATGCCCTCCCCACTATAGTGGTGTAGGGTATAAACACTAACAAAAACTGAGTAGTTTTCATAAAAAAATAAATTTTTTCTTTTCTTTTTTCTGAATTTGGACATAAATTTTTTGAAAAATTTTTAAAATTTACTATATTTATTTATAAACAGATGTAAACTGTTTATTACATCGTCCAACAAAAAGGGAAAAAATTCGTTAGACACGAACCGGATGATATATGTACGTCAGAAACTATAAATTTCATGGTTGAGTTTTTCATTGAATTTTTTGGTTTTTTATTTCCTTATCCAGTGTACTTTTTAAAGGACTTTAAAGTTTTGAAAAGTAAAAAATATACTTCTACTGATCAAACAATGTCGAATTTGATGTCAAGCAAACAAGATGAGTAGGGAAATATTTGGTATTATTTTTATTTTATACTGTCAGGATAAAAAGATATCAAAAATGCTTTTTAAAACATTTATGTTTTCAATTTCATTTTTTCAAACAATTTTTGAAAGACATTTTTTACATCTTTTGATCCTGATAGAATAAAATAAAAATAACACAAAACATTTTACAACTCCTCTTGTTCGCTTGACATCAAATTTGACATTGTTTGATCAGTAGAAGTATTTTAAAATGTGTTTTGTCCTTTAAAAAGGACACAGGATCACGAAATGAAAAAAATTATAGTTTCCGACGTATATCATCGTGTTCGTGTCTAATTTTGAGTGTCAGACGGTGTTTTAAGTAATGAAGTCTATTGTCTTTAAAGTTCTTGATTAGAATAGTACACTTCTTTTGACAAAAATCACATTTCCTTTTATTTTCAGTTTAAATTCTTTTTTGAAAACACTTGTTTTTCATCAATGCCAAATTTAATTTAATTTGCAAATTAATTTCTATTTCAATAAATATTTACTTAATAATTTTATAATATATTTCCTTTGTTTAATCGCTATTGAAAGAGTCAACATCTATAGAAAGTTTTAAAATAAATATTTTATTAGCGACAATTTTTATGCGTGTTTATTTTTAGCGTATGAAAAAAGAGTTTCAAAATTTTTACCATAAATAGTGGAACTACGGCAGAGTAGTAATTACAGTTTAATTCAAGAGTTTATTGGATTAAGAACAAGTTTACGGGAGAAAGAAAAAAAAAACGATCGTATCATGAAACTTTTTACAATTTTAATTTTTGGCCTTGTTTTGGCTTTGGCTTTAGCCGAAGAAGCAGAAGGAGATGGTGCTGAGGACAAGGGTGATGAACCTGGTGATGATGACAAGGGTGGAGAAGGTGGTGACGACAAGGGTGAAGGAGGTGACGAAGACAAAAAAGACGAAGGTGGTGATGACAAAGGCGATGGAGGTGATGACAAGGATGGTGATGATAAAGGCGATGGCGACAAAGGTGGTTCTAAACCAGCTGGTGGTGGATCAGCCTCCCCTGCTCCGGCTCCAGGTAAAAAACCAGCTGGTGGCGGTTCCTCAAACAAACCTGCTGCAGGTGGAAATAAACCTGCTGGATCTAAGAAACCAGCCAATAATAAGCAAAATCTAGTTCAAAAAAGAAAACAAATTAGGAAAAAACAACAGGCCCTTTTGAAAAGACAACAAGCCATCATGAAGAAACAACAAGCCAAGAGGAAAAGAATGCAAGCTATTAGAAAAAGACAACAGGCCATGATGAAGAGACAACAGGTTATGATTGACCAACAATTAAGAAATCTGAAAAGGCAACAGGCTAACTTTAAGATCCAACAGTCTAACATGAAGAGATTACAAGCTCAAAGACAAAAGGCCGCTGCTAATAAGAAGAAAACTGCTGCAAATAAAAATAAAAACAAACAAAATCAAAAGGTTGGAGCAAACAGACCAAAGGTTCCCAACAGACAAGGTTAAAATAGAATAGAATTTTAAAATTGTGAAATTGTTGCAAAAATAAATATGCTTGCTTAAGCAGATTCTAAAGAAAAAAAAAATAAATTTTTTAGTTGTTTTATTATTTTAAAGAAAATTAGGTTTTAATATAATAGCAAAAAACAATAAAAAAATGGAATTGAATACAAATGTTTTTATTCTGACAAGAGCCTCACTTAATTAGACTAATTATGTGATTAGGGGCATTAATGAGGGATCCGGGACCAACATAATTTGAAACATTAATATCTCGAATAAAATAGTTTTTGTTGAAATTTGTATTAATTTCATATTTTTGAACACTTTATTGATCAAAGATTTTAAGTAAAAGTGTTTATATGCAGGTTATGTCAATTATTGACCATTCCTCATGATATTTGATAAAAATGTTATGAAACTTATTTATATCTATTATCATCTTTATACAGTTATCTGAAAGCTACATAATGGCATACGATAAAATAATTTCCTGAAGGGGCCCTTATATGGTTGCTAGATTCAAATATGGTATAATATTAACCTAACTCCTGAGTATTAATTTGGGCAGTAGACTTACTTGTGGAAAATGTATTCCCATGTATGTTTGGGACTTTGGTGAAATTGTGGATTGATATTTTTTATACAATTTTAGCACAATTTCATTCAACAGACAAACAGATGGAAGGATCATCTTAAAATATAATTATATTTTTTGGCTAAGAGAGTTTACTTGTCTTTACTGATCACTTGTAAGGATCTTTCCCATTTCCAATTCAAAACAAACATTATCAATAAAGAATATTTATGGCTAATTTTATCCATCTATCTGCTTCCGATCGGACACTATTGTATTTTTAACAGACAGACGAACCGAACAGACGAATCGACTAGATCCGTATCAGTATATAACATGTAAGAAGTTATAGTCGGACGAGGCCGACCATATAATACCCTACACCAGTTATTTAGCATTTAAATTGAATTGTATCTTGTCTTAGATATACTTTAGCCATTTTTTGTTGAATAAAATAGTGTAAATTTAAGTTATATTTCGAAGGGGGCTTTATATAGGGGCTAGGGTCAAATGAGGCCCTATCATCAATAAAATTCATCAGGCTAAATGATGGCTAGTATAGAACTTGGTTTTGCAGCATTTTGTCGAGATACGAGTATACTGAACATAATTATGAACTTAAAAGCCCTATTCGGGTGGTTCAATTGTATGGGGGCTAGGTCAAATATTGGACCGATTTCCCATTTTTAATAGGAACGTCTCTAGTATAATAGAAGATCGTATGCAAAATTTCATTGAATTATCTTCAAAATTGCGACCTGTAGTTTGATTACAATGTTTACATGGACGGACGGACATAGCTAAATCGACTCACAGAATGATTCTAAGTCAATTGGTATACTTTAAGATGGGTATAGGACCAATGTTATTGTGCGTTACAAACATCAGCACAAACCTCCCCACTAAAGTGGTGTAGGGTATAATAAGGACCCAGTACATACATGTACTTTTGTGGGTCTAGGACTAATATTTCGATGTATGTATCACAGAAAAAATTATCAGTAGTTTATTTTCAATTAACATGTTTTTCTCTTTCTTTAATATTACTTTAAGCAATTTTTTATTTGTCGTAATTATCTCGTTGTTTAAAACCTAAGTTTACAAATTTGATTAAATTTTTAATTGATTCAATTAGTTTTTTAATTGATTGAAAAAAATTTTCGGGCCAACTTTTCTATTTTTGTTTTTTTTTTTAATATTTTATTTTGATTTCTTATGCTAACAATGTTTATAATTCTTAAATAGTCAATACGATTTTAGGCATATAATATTCAATTTTCCTGACAATTTATAAAACACTTTATATGTTCAAATTTGATAATAAAGTGATATTTTTTGTAAATGCTCAACGCATTGTTAAAGGTCAAGCATTCCTTTAACATTGTGAGTAATCAATTAATAATTTGATTGTTTTAATCATCAACTTAATTGGTTTTTAGTACATTTTCTACCAAACAAACTAATTCATTTGATTAATAAATTAATAAAAATTAGATTTTATTTTTATTAAATATTTAATTTATACAATTAATGAATTAATCAATTTTAAATTTTGTCTCAATTATTGATATTAATTGTTCTGATTAATTCGTTATTTGGAAAAAAAAAAGTATTTTTTTAATATTTTTACAAATTTGATAATTGATATCATCATTTTGGTGATAGGTGCAAAACTTGCTTGATACAATTATTTTGATAATTGAAACATATTTTTAGTTTTTTCTGTGATGTATGCATGGGTTTGTGGATACATACTTTGTAATTTATAAATTGTAACAGTAATATTATTATCAAGTTATCTATGAAAATATTTTTATTATTATATAATAATTAATTTATGTGAGATTTCAAAAAAAAAAAAAAAAAAAAAAAAACACAAAATAATAAAATAATTAAATAAATAAATAATAAAATAATTTAATTTTTAATATAAAATAAAATTGAGATCTTTAACTAACATTATCCTACACAGAAAAAACTGAAAAACGATTTCAATTACCAAAACCTCGTTTTCAATTATTTTGTTTATTGAAGTTCAACCTATAACAAAAATTGTATATTCAATTACTACTTATAATTGATTTCGTATAAAAAATTTTTATTTTTTTATATTTTTGTTGTTATTAAAAATGTATTTGATTATATATTTTTATGATTCAAATACAAAATGAATTGAACCCTTTTAAAGTTGTCGATTAATCGTTTAATTGAAATTTTTTTAAAATTAATTTTTTCTGTGTACCTACAGGGTTACTTTCAGTTATGAAGTGGTCGAGCGAGATCCTTATAAAATTTTAAAGTTAATATTTTCGTTCGTACATGCCTATTTAGTTTAGATATTAAAAGTTTAGAAATTACCATATATATCCGATTATATTTCGAACCCTCTTTATAGAATTATAAATCGATATTGTTACATTCTCGGCCTGAAGAAAACACGCTCATTTCTTTAACACATTTTTATTTTTACTAAAAATTAAAAAAATAGTTGACCTTGACTTGTGCTTTAATAATAATAATAATTATTAGCAAATTTTTAACGAATTTCTTTCCATACAAGTTAATATTTATTTAACTGCTAATTTGCTAATATACATATAATTATTTGCTTAATATAGTGAGATACACAACACATTTAGAAAGTCAAAAATAAATATTTGTTTTAACTGCTGCTACGCATTTTTATATAAGACTTATTGAAAAAAAGAGTTTCAAAATTTTGCCATAAATAGTGGATCTATAGCTGAGAAGTAATTACAGTTTAACTCAAGAGTTGATTCACTTAAGAACAACATAAGGAAAGAGAACTAAAAAGGAACATGAAACTTTTTACAATTTTCATTTTTGGCCTAGTACTAGCTTTGGCGCTAGCCGAAGAAGAGACACCAGAAGGAGGTGGTGAGGAGGAAAAGGCTGAAGAAGGAGACGAAGATAAAAAGGAAGAAGGCGATGAAGATAAAGGTGAAGGTGACGATGACAAAAAAGACGAAGGTGGTGATGACAAAGGCGATGGAGGTGATGACAAGGGTAAAGACGAAGGTGGTTCTCCACCTGCTGGAGGTGATAAACCAGCTGCCGGTGGTAATAAACCTGCTGGCTCCAATAAACCAGCTGCTGGTGGTAATAAACCCGCCGCTGGAGGAAATAAACCCGCCGCTGGAGGAAATAAACCAGCTGGAGGCAAGAAACCCGCTGCTAATAAAAACCCCTTGAAAAAGGCCAACCAAAAAAGACGTCAACAAATCAAGAAAAATCGCCAGAATATTAAGAAAATGAAGCAGCAGCTTAAAAAACAACAACAGGCCAATAAGAAGAGACGTGAACAAATCAAAAAGAGACATCAAATGATTAAGAAGAGGCAAGAGTTTATTTTGAAAAGGAAACAGAACATGATGAAAAGGAGACAGCTTATTATGAAGCAACAGCAAGCACTCAAGATGCAAAATAACCGTAATGGAGCTAATAGACCAAAACCAGGAGCTAATAAACAAAAAGCTGGTGGCAATAAACAAAAGGTACCAAATAGACAAGGTTAATTTTAAAATTTTCCGAAATTACAATTATGAATAGATGTTATACTTAATTGTTCAATAAATGATGTTATAGTTAAAAAACAAATATTAATTTATTCAAGTGGTCCCAGTTAATGAATTAGAAAATATTACAGTTTTGGCAAAAACTTTAGGTTGCTTTTTAAAAATATTGAATTATATGTAGGTGTATAAGAACTTTCAGAACGAAAAATTCGGAGCAGTAATTAGGTGAAAGTTATATTCATGTCTCGAGAATTCAAAGTGAATTAATCCCTAATTGTATTACCATGTAACTGAGTATCAAAGCGATTTTAATATGAGGAACTTATGGAAGCTAATTATACTTAGATGCCCACACAATTTTAAAAATGTCGAAACCCAGAGACCAAAGTATTCTTTTCTATAGGGTTAAGCTGCTCTGAACTCAAATCTCAGTTTTCTCCATTACCTCAGCTTTTTGGCCATATTTAAGGCTTTATAAATGGTTTATCATTTTCAAGTGTATTTCAGAATAATTTCGCTTGTAACTATGGTCAGTAGAAAAGTTTTAAAGTTTGTAAAATTTAATTTTAGAATACTGAAAAATAATTGAAAACAATGAGAAAGTTCCTAAATACAATTGGAATTGAAGTTCCAACATAAACAAGTAAGAATATATAGTCGGTCATGTCTAACACGTAATACCCTACACTAGTGAGTATGTTGAAAATGTGAAGTATTGTTTTAATAATAAAGCATTTAATTTGTTTTTGACCATAATACCGAAATATTTTAACAATCTGTTGAAAAAAATCTAAAAGAGAGGTTATATAGGGGCACGAGTTAATATGGTCCTATCCTTAAGTAATTTTCTGAAGCCCTATTTGGGCGGTACGATTGCATGGATATACAGACGGACAGACAGACTGACTGACTGACTGACTGACTGATAGATAGGTAGATAGATAGATAGATAGATAGATAGACAGACAGACAGACAGACAGACAGACAGACAGACAGACAGACAGACAGACAGACAGACAGACAGACAGACATAGCCAAATCGAATCAGAAAGTGATTCGGAGCCGATTGGTATGCTTTAAGATGGGTGTGGGATTTTTGGCTGTTACAATCATCAGCACAAACGCATAATACCCTCCCCACTATAGTGGTGTAGGAAATTAAAATCAATAAAATTCGGTTCAAAATATTGAATTCTGTGTGAAAAAAGACAAGCTGTTTAAATAACAACTCGACTGAAAATTTTTTGTGTACATAGAAATTGTGTATTGTTTAAGCTCTAAAAACAATATTTGAACTTTTTTTGTATCAATAAAAAACATTTCTATTTAGTAAATAAATAATAAGCCTACCAATTTTGTTGTTGCTATTATAGTCAGATTCTACTTCATAATTCTTATAATTGAGTCATAACCGATACATATGCGTTATAAAGCTTTTTTGAAAGAATTTATAAAATTCAGAAAATTAAAAAAAAAACGATTCACCGATTTTTTCACAAATTATTTTTTGAATATACAATTTTTTGTAAATTATTATTATTTCTTTAAAGAAAAATATGTATAATATTTAATAAGAAACCAGGACACGGTTACAGTTTTAAAAGTCCAATATAATTGCTACTAACACTATAACTATTTAATTTTGAGCTAGAACAGGTTTCGGCAGACAAATGAGCTCTCCTTTCTCTCTTTTTTTAGGTACAAGTGAGAAAGGGAGCTGATTAGTCGCCGCATCACCTTTCTAGATCGACAAAAACGCACATTACTTTGATTTCGAACAACTCTTCTTCATTTTTATTAAATAAAATTGTAAACTACTAATTCGAACATACAAATTTGTATACATACAGTTTTTTCTTCTTTTGTAAAACTATCACAGTTAAAACGATAATTAAATATTTAATTTAAATATAAAAAAACTTAATTAAATTATTTACATAACTTATAATAAATAAAATAGAAATAACTGTGCTAAGCACAGCTATATATTTAACTAAAAATATTAAATTTGATTACTTACACATACACACCCTTTTTGTAATATTTGTTTTACCTTAAAAGTCCTTTTACATTTGTTTCTGTCCTTCTGTTTGCATTTATATAATAAATGCAAAAATCCAATCTAGAAATTTTGCCACATCTGTATAAATCACATATTGATTTATACTACAACTCTGGCTGGTTCGAGAAGTTGTAGATGAGGTAGAACCCTCGACAACAGCTGCTTGCATGGGCAATACACCCGATACGGTACCCCTTAACATCCAACGATTGTTTTTGAAAATCATTAAACCCGCACCAGAGTCACCAGTACAGGGTCCCTGATGTAGTTGTTGTTGAAAATTTAATGGCTTACCACTAACTTCACTTTTAGTTGTTGCCGCTGAGGCTTGCAACATAATCCCAGCACAAAAAGTCCGATTCGATGAGAGACTTCGATATTTGGGATTCGCCTTAAAACAAATATCGTTCGAAACAATGGGGGTACTGACAATTTTCGGCACTGTACTAGTGGTGGAGGTATGTTTGGAAGTATTGAAGCCTCCAAGACCCCAACCCACAACAATGCCATGCTCTCCTTCGATGTATTGTGTCTTTGTGGAACCAGACCACATACATGCTGGACGTATGAAAGTATTAAAGCTGTAAGTAGATAAATAACTTTAAATTTATAATCTTAAAAATTTAAATAAATCGGACTATTGGTTGCTCGATCCACTTTAATGAATCAAAATTTTTGATTTCTTAATTGAATGTGAAAGAATTTGAGGGGAGGAGGAGAGCTTGGGTATATTATGGGCCAAAATCTTTAATCGGTTTGATGAAGTCAGATTTTTTTGTTTGAGAAGGTCTTGTAAAGGGCCAATAGTCAATTATGAGCCGATGGTTGAGATATTTTAATGGACCGGTCGTTATGAAATTTGACGGAGTCTTATGATTATTTTATTACTACATATAGATGTTATGAAATATATGAAAATTTTATTGATTTTCGAATCATTATACCGAACAATTTAGTTCGGTTTAATTGGCGTCACACAATTTTTTTTAACGTTATAGGGTCAATTATGGACTAACAAATGTGTGGATTAAATAAGAGCTATATGAAATGATATTCAATTCCAAATTAACCTTTTTTCAAATTTAATTATCTTCAAAAATTGAAGGTTTACATGGACGATCAGACGAACGATCATTATTAAGTCGATTCAGAAAGTGATTCTGAGATGATTGGTAAGATCAGTGCAAAGCAGGGCAGGAAAATGTTCCTGCTATCTCATTTATTCTACCTACCGAACTTCATTCTTCAGCACCACTACAGCAATATCAGCATCATATGAATTCAAATGTTGATTATAATCGGGATGTATAAAAATATCATCAACTGGAGCCGCTAATGAACCTTCTTCATTCCAATTTTTCAAGTTGTGACGTCCTAAAAACACCAAGACCTCATTGGCAGTATAACGTTTCTTGAACAACTGAAAACAGTGTGCTGCACTGATAACAATGCGTGGCGATACCAGTGTACCGCCACACTGATAAGCCAGAGATGTTAAATTATTAACATAAACAGCTGCCAGCCAGGGCCAGGCTCCACGAGTAATCGAAGGCAACTCATTGATGGTCATTGAACCATCAGTTGAGGCAGCATCATCCAACATAAAATCAGAATTCAAATCAGTGTCACTGGTAACTAAGGGAGGTAAACTGTCATCACCATCATCCTCATCATGTTCATCTCCTTCTTGTCCTCTGGCTTTTGTAGCGACAGTTGCCGTTTTACTACCACCCGTAGAGATTTCATCATTTGGACGTGGCAATATTGCTGACAACAATAACGAACCTACACTATCTGCTTGGTTTTTAAATGTTGTACTCGAGGAAGAGGAAAAGGAGGAAGAAGAAACTATAGAAGTTGTAGTTTGTTTTAATGCATGCAAAACTTGAAAACGTATACGGTCATCGATAGTGCCACAAATATCCTTTGAAAGGCGCATGGGATTCCTGGAGAAAATTAAGAAAAAGAAACCAAAAAGGAAAAATTATAAGAAAAAGCAGAGCAAAAACAAAAAAAAAAGAGGAAATAATTTTTCAAATTCTTTGTTAACATTGATTTAAGGCTGTAGTCTGTCCATATGCCAAACCATTTGATTGTACGTCTGTCCATCTATTGATTGGTATAATTTTGTATGTTTGTAGTATGTTTGTAAAAGATTTTGAACTTACTTTTCCATATTGGTTAAAGGCAAATGTTTAGTACCAAATGCAATGTTAGTTGGTAGTATTGATGATTCCTTCATGCCTGTTGTTATGGGCAATGCTGATATAGAAGCTGAGTGACCTCCCCCCAGGCCCATTGTAGCTGTAGAAGATGAGGCTGATGATGACGAGGAGGATGATGATGATGTTTGTATAGGTGGTGGTATTTCATCGGGTAGAAATGTAAACTTTCTAGTGTGTTCCAATTGTATTTGTGTCACAAAGATACTGTGATCTGTTTTTATAGATAATGTCACACACACATGTAGTTAAACGCAACATGTTGCATGAATGGTATATTGATGGATGAATGAATGAGTGAGTGAGTGGTGTTTGGTTGTTGTAGATGTTTTCAATGTTTTTTATTATTATTTTTTCCAGTTTTTGATGGATGCATCATATCAACACATCACCAATAGACATTATGTTTTGTGTTGGGTACCAAGTACACACACACATAGTGTCAAGTAAAATGTTCATCATAACAAAAACAACATTTAATGCCAAAGTGTAAAAAATATAAAAAAGGAGAAAAGAAAAAAAATAATGGTATTTAATATTTGATTTTATAAATATGTATTACAGATTTTCTTTAAATACTTTTAACAAATTCTTAAAAGAAACATTGATTTTTACTTTTGTTTTTTGTTGGTTTTCATTTCTTTTGTTGGTTGTAAAGTTTTAAGATTTCTTTTAAATTTTTTGTTTTGGTTTTCTTTATACTTTACCTTGTGCTCCTAGACAAACAACTTGATTATTCGTTGTGATTTGTAACAATTTAGGTGGAAAGTGATTTTTCGGAAATTTAATTTTATACAATACCGGTGTGTCGCTTAAGAATTGTCCACGTGTTAACAACTCAATTTCGCCCAAATAATTCTGTTGTTATTTATTGTTCCCAAAAGATACAGGATATAGATAAAGGATATAAAAAAGGATTACATTTAAGAAAACATGTTATCGTAAGTATAATTTTATATCTATTATGAAATAGTGTTAAGTGCAAAAGTGTGCTGGACTTTGTAAGTCGTTTTAAGGATATTTTGTGTATATGATTAATAAGAACTTCCTGGTGAAAAATTGTAGATTGTAAAAGTTACAATTAAATATAAAATTTATTTGAAATATAACGAAAAAGATGTCCTAGAGGGAAGAAGGAAAGAGTGATAAACCTTTTACAAAAATATTTCTTAGATCCAAATTATAGCATTAAACATGGACAAAATTGGACTAATCAAAAAAATTGTAAAACCATATAATACCCTACACCATGAGTATATTTTAAAAATTTTATTTTTCTTAAAGAAACTTTTATGTTGAGTTTTATCTTAATTCCAAATAAGCAATTTATTGATAAAATACAAATTTTCTTAATGAGGCTTTATATGTAGGAGTATAGGTCAAACATGGCCCGATGCTGATTAAATTTGGAAAATAACAGTTAGTTATGTTGAGTTTCATTGCGATACAAATGGTTACAAGTCAATTTTTGACGTTTAAAAACAATTTTTAAAAGGGGTTTTGTATGGGGGCTAGGGTCAAATAAAGGCCGATCGTATCATTTATACTTATATAAAACTTATTTGTGCCATTTTTTGGAGAGATAATATTATATTTGTCGTAATTATGACATAAAAAGCCCAAATCGGGAGGTACGATTGTATGGGGGCAAGGTGAAATAATGGACCGATTTCAACCATTTTAGGCTTCGTCTCTGTGCCAAAAAACATGTTTGGTACAAATTTCATCAAATTATCTTGATCGACTCAAAAAGTGATTCTGAATCGATCAGTATACTTTAAGGTGGGTGTAGGACCTATATTTTTGTGTGTTACAAACATCAGCACAAACGTATAATACCCTCATAAAATTTTAAATGCCACATCTCAGAAAGGTGAAAAACTTTAAACTACATGTTTAAAACATTCCAAAATTCATGTAAGACTTTTTTTGCAAAAATCTTGTATTGAGTTTCTTTAGATTTTTTAAGAATATCTAAAATCTTTGAGAAAAAAATTTGTATAGAACTTTTCTAAAACCTCACGTTGGTCAGTTCGGAAATGGAAAACTGAAAAACCCCAATTCTTTGTTTGAAGAAGAAACACTTAGAGCCCTCATAGCGCTTTATGGAGGATTTCAGGGGTCCATTTTTTTAGCTTAAACTCAAATACTCCTTGGCTATGCTAATGTCATAAGCTTTCTATCGTTTGAAAAATTCTCGGGAACAATGCATACCGAGTCCATTTCTCTACTACACCCATACACATATGAATAATTTCGTGTCAAGTGACCCAACTTTTTTTCTGGGACCATTCATTTGAAACTGTATAACCAAAATGTCCAACTTTGGAGACCTCTAACTCCGTCAGATCTTGGGCGATAAAGAAATTTGTGCCTGATACTAACCTTGGTGCAGATTTTATCCAAATCGATTTTTTTAGTTGGGTCACTTGATACAAAATTGCCAATATACATACATGTGATAGATTAAAGTCTAAATGCTACTGATTTCCCGCGAACTCGTTTAAATTAACAATCGTGAAACTCGCATTAAAAAATTTTGTAGATCAAACTTCCTGGCAATGAAATTGGTTGTTATAAATCCATCGTTAAAATTTATCGATAGACTTCTGTTGACACAATTTTGTTTCTCATGAAATTATGAAACTGTACGAAATATACAAAAACTGAAGGCGAAATGTTGGCTCTATGAATATGTCTCCACTGAGATTTATGATTCCTTAAACGTCAGTAGCTAAATATTAAAAAAATAGTTATTCCTTAAGTTTTCTTTGAACGGAAAGGATTTGAAAACAAACAGGTCCAAGATCTGGTTAAATGACAACATGACAATCTATCACCCATTTTTCTGGTTACAAATATACCAGAAAGTTCTTTATAAGCACTTCATACACTATTTCAAAATACCTATAAATAATTAAAGTAAAATACTTACCGTTGTCGGTTTCCCTCTCATCGAGAGGGTGACACGCAAATGTAGAGCTTGACCAAAATCTGGATTACGCACCGATAATATGCCAAACCATTCCGCGCCATCAAAACGATATTGAAACATTTTCGGACAAGGACTTATGGGTATACCTTGTGTAAAGATTTTATTTATATGTTCGAATATGATAAACATGATGGTGGTGATGTGTAAATGCATTATTTAAATTTTATTTCTTTTGCAATTTTTTTTTCCACTTTTTCACTATTTTGCACTTATTTTGTTTATTATTTTTTATAGGTTTTTGTTTTATTTTCAAATTCATTTATTTTCTTATATGTACATAGAACGCATGCAACTCAATTGCGAGAGCGTTCAAAAACAACTGATTTTATTATGACATTTACCACTGAGAATGTCAAATGTGAAAAAATAAAATATTTGTTTAGCATTAAGCAATAATAAAAGAAGATGATAAAAAGAAATAAAAATCCGCTAAAAATTATGGGGATCATAAAAAGAAACCAAACACAAACAACAGAATCATAAAAATATAAAGCAAGTGTGAATGAATGAAATGCAATTGTGCAGTGAGTGAATAATGATCATTAAGGGAAATTCCCTTAAATGATAAGTACTTGAAAGAGTGAGAAATTAAATAAGAGTAATTAGTGTTTTATAAGCAGCTGTTGCTCTTTAATGATTAAACATTACGGATCATAAAGTAATTAAGGAAAATTTAAAAAAGAACAACAGTTTAAGGGTTTTTAATTAAGTCCATTCGTTAAGAAATCAGTCGAAAAGGATTAACAAACAGCCAACAGGTAGGTACTAATAATAATAATTTCAAAGTAAAAACAAATTCTTATCTCTCTTTTGGCGTTATTGGAATATTTTAATGCGCTTGCGCTTAAAATACCAAATTTCCCCTATTTTAAGTTAAGGCGAATTTAAATGTTAGAGTAACGGTTAGTGGAGGTTATTTTTCAGTAGTATGTTGTTATTACTTTTGTTTGTTGCATGCAACAAGTTGTAACCTGTTGTATATACTAGTGTGCTAACTACATTTTCATAAAAATTATATACAAAAATACTATAATATACACTTTTTAAAAATTTAATTTAAAATTTAAACCAATTTGTTTGTTTGTTGCTGTTATAACAAATATTTTCATTTCAGTTGTTGTTGTTGCTGTTGTTGGAAACCAGTAAAATATGATCCACATTAACAAAAAACACATATAATGAGTTTCTTTATGGTTGTGATATTGTAGGTGGAATTTTTTTCGTTGGTTTTTTTTCTGGTTTGTTACTTGGTTTAATGTATTTTAACACTTAATAAAAAAGTTTTTCGTGTTTTGAAAATTTTTACCTTAAAAAATATTATAAGATATTATGATGCTTGTAGGGTTTCTTAGAGTTTTTTTTGCACCTTAAAATTTTGTTTCATTGTATTCTGCTTTCTTCGTTCTTTTTTTTTTTTAAATTTTGTACATAAAATGTTGTAAGTATAATTTTATAAATGTAATTCTTTTTTTTTTGTATCATACCCTCAAGACATCTACTCTTCACTAAAGTTTTTTATCACGTTCTTTAACTTTATACTGCCATAACGACAGCGGCAGCAAAGAAATAAAAAAAAATATGAAGAAAGAACAACAATAGTTTTACAATAAAATCTGTAGTAACCCTATAGTTTTGGGATAAAATCAGGAAAACAAACAGCGCCCAGCCAAGAATAACAAAATATTCTGATTCCTTAATATTTACAAAATTTATTTATACCTATTTAGATGAAATAATATGATCGTTGTAATGGTCCTTAGTTCTCCGCTTGCGATTGAAAATATTGACCTGAGTAGAATTTGTAAAAAAATACCCCCACTTTTTCAAATTTGTCTCAAATTTTGAGCAAATTACGGGAAAAATTATTTAAATGTTTTTGTTTTTGATTTTTAGTAGTTTTGGGAGGCATATTATTTTCGCATTTTATCGAAATAGAAGTCGAAATTGTTCTAATATTTAGCTTATACAGAGAAAAATCTAGGTAAGTGGTTAGTGTTCTAGTCTAACTAACTAACTAACTAACTACTAACTAACTAACTAACTAACTAACTAACTAACTAACTAACTAACTAACTAACTAACTAACTAACTAACTAACTAACTAACTAACTAACTAACTAACTACTAACTAACTAACTAACTAACTAACTAACTAACTACTAACTAACTAACTAACTAACTAACTAACTAACTAACTAACTAACTAACTAACTACTAACTAACTAACTACTAACTAACTAACTAACTACTAACTAACTACTAACTAACTAACTAACTAACTAACTAACTAACTAACTAACTAACTAACTAACTAACTAACTAACTACTAACTACTAACTAACTACTAACTAACTAACTACTAACTACTAACTAACTACTAACTAACTAACTACTAACTACTAACTAACTAACTAACTAACTAACTAACTAACTAACTAACTAACTAACTAACTACTAACTAACTAACTAACTAACCTAACTAACTAACTAACTAACTAACTAACTAACTAACTAACTAACTAACTAAACTAACTACTAACTAACTAACTAACTAACTAACTAACTAACTAACTAACTAACTAACTAACTACTAACTAACTACTAACTAACTAACTAACTAACTAACTAACTAACTAACTAACTAACTAACTAACTAACTACTAACTAACTAACTAACTAACTAACTAACTAACTAACTAACTAACTAACTAACTAACTAACTAACTAACTAACTAACTAACTAACTAACTAACTAACTAACTAACTAACTAACTAACTAACTAACTAACTAACTAACTAACTAACTAACTAACTAACTAACTAACTACTAACTAACTAACTAACTAACTAACTAACTAACTACTAACTAACTAACTAACTAACTAACTAACTAACTAACTAACTAACTAACTAACTAACTAACTAACTAACTAACTAACTAACTAACTAACTAACTAACTAACTAACTAACTAACTAACTAACTAACTAACTAACTAACTAACTAACTAACTAACTAACTAACTAACTAACTAACTAACTAACTACTAACTAACTAACTAACTACTAACTAACTAACTAACTAACTAACTAACTAACTAACTAACTAACTAACTAACTAACTAACTAACTAACTAACTAACTAACTAACTAACTAACTAACTAACTAACTAACTAACTAACTAACTAACTAACTAACTAACTAACTAACTAACTAACTAACTACTAACTAACTAACTAACTAACTAACTAACTAACTAACTAACTAACTAACTAACTAACTAACTAACTAACTAACTAACTAACTAACTAACTAACTAACTAACTAACTAACTACTAACTAACTACTAACTAACTAACTAACTACTAACTAACTACTACTAACTAACTAACTAACTAACTAACTAACTAACTAACTAACTAACTCTAACTAACTACTAACTAACTAACTAACTACTAACTAACTAACTAACTAACTAACTAACTAACTAACTAAACTAACTAACTAACTAACTAACTAACTAACTAACTAACTAACTAAACTAACTAACTAACTAACTAACTAACTAACTTAACTACTAACTAACTAACTAACTAACTAACTAACTAACTAACTAACTAACTACTACTAACTAACTAACTAACTAACTAACTAACTAACTAACTACTAACTAACTAACTAACTAACTAACTAACTACTAACTACTAACTAACTAACTACCTAACTAACTAACTAACTAACTAACTAATCCGTAACAGTGCACTGGTACGGAACTGAGATCCTATTCAAAAAATTATTTATTATTTTTCTCATATTTAGTACATTAACACCCAGTATAGTTCTGTTTGAGAGTTTCTTTGTTTCCTACAGAACTATCGGAAAATTTGTGTGCGTAAAATTGTACGTTTGTATATTTATTTGTCTACCTCTTATGGCAAGCAACACATATGTTGCAATATTGTAAACATTTGTAAATTTTAACAACTTTCTTGCTATAATTGTAGTTGTTGCTTAATTTTTTTTCTCAAGAATACGTATTATAATAAAACTGCATTTTGTAAATATTTTGGAATTTATTGTCATACATTGAATTTAACCCTTTGTGAGATATATTGGTACAATATGACCCAAGGAAAATAAATTACTGAACGTAGCAATGCGTCTTAATATTTACTTTTAAAGAAGTCCAAAAATGATGCTATTCTCCTAGTAAATGTTAAATTATACTAAATTATCCGATTTTAGATGGGTTAACAATATAGAATTTTCCTTACAAAAAAAAAAAAAAACTCATTTATGGGTTAATTTCTACAAGTTGCAAATAATTTTAAAGTTGAAATTAAACTTCAGCTTTGTGTAAACTATAGCAGGAAGAATTATTATATATTTATCTTTAAATAATATTGTCAACATTTAACAAAAAACGTTGAATCTATTATTAAATATTTTTTGTTCTTTGTTGTATTCCTTTTATACTTTTATATTTATTGTTGTATACCTGAAACATGTAGTATTTAGGCGTAAACGTCATTAATATTCATGTCCACAAAGAGAAACAATTTATTTTTGTTGAACATAAAAGAGAAAAAATTATTTAATTTTTATTAAGTCTACAATTTTTGTTGTATATTTATATTTTAAATAAATTTACTGTAAACTTAACAATGGGTGAACCTAAGAAAATTTTTAGGTATACTTTAAGGCTGAAATAGAAAAGGGGAGAGAGAGAGAGAGAGTGTAGTGATATAAAACAATTATGCGTTGCCAATCAAATGATCATCTGCATAAAATTATTATTTATTTAGTAGATTGTAAGAGTTTTTTAGATAAATAAATATTTTGTTACATTTTCTGTATCGAATTAATTACACATACTACTGCATGGTTTGTGTAAATATGTATTTTTTTATTGAGAATTGATTTTATTTACATCTATGTACATATATACTTATATTTGTTTAAAAATAATAAATTTTATTTTCTAATAAGTATTCAATGTTCAGCTATAATTTTTAATCCTGATATGTACAATAGAATGTCCCGTGGACCACTTTTTCGGGTGAATGACCAAAATGTCCAACTTTGACCCCCTCGAACTCCCGAAGTTCTTGATCGATAGAGTAGAAAATTTGTGTCTGTCTGTCCTACTATCTAATAGTACTAATATTGGTTAAGAGTTGGGTCACTTGACACGAAATTGCCAATATGTATATGTAAGTATGTATGTATATCAAAAAACATGGAAAATAGAATTGGGATTAAGATAATAAACCTTTGAGAGCTGAAATTTGGTAGAAATTATTTTAACACAGTTATGTGATGGG